CATCTCTGTTCAGCTGCTCTGTTTGATGTGAAGCCTGCGGAGTTCAAAAACAACCCCATTTTTCAATTGGAAATATTTTTATCAAGAAATAGGCAGGCATCACTTCTAATCAGCCAGATGAAAGCGCCAGAAGAAATGTCTGCAATATCCATCACTGAAGTTCAGTTCCACATGCTCGGTAGAGGTCCTTGATGGATTCAAAGAAAAATGCTCTAATGAGGTGGAGGAAGCGAAAAGAGGAAGAAAAAATAAGCTGGTTGGCCCTTGACCTTGGTTTAGTCAAAAAGAAATGCTCATAGCCCTCCTAGGCAGGCACCCTTGTTGCTTGGAAGTGTTCCAGCTGATTAGGAGGTGTTGAAAATGAGTGTTTTTTTATACTCAGTTAAAAATCACACATTGAGCATGATTGTTCATATTCACTTGCTGCTTTATGCTATGGATGTTTCAAAACCTCACTGAAGTAAGTACAGAGAGGATAGAATAAGCCCTATTTTATGTCTGTCCTTATCATCCACTTTAAGGTACATATTTCTGATTTGAGCATCTGCTTTTTAAAGGCAAGCCTGGCACTGTTAGAGTGATGCTTTGTCAAGCTGTGCTCATATTTTCTTTTTACTCAGAGTCTTTGTCTGAGATTTCTGCTTCCAGTGGTTTGTTGTTTGTGCTGTTCACAGCTCTAAAAGCAACAATAAAACAACAATGGGAGTTATCCTTTTTGCTGTGGAGAATTCTAACTGTGAGTTTTCACTTCAACATCTCTCCTCCAAACAAAACACTTATTGAAAGATGGTTCGAAAAACGGCGTGTTAAATACCTAGAACAACCTGCACACTCTTTTGACTTAACAGAATTCCACCAAAGAATGTCATGTGCCTCTGCTGCTTTAAAGGTTAAATCCCCCAGATACAATCTGCACCATATGCTCTGTGACTCAAACTAGAAAGCTTATGAGATATCTTTCTCATTTTTTGCTGTCCTCTGTCAACATTTGTAATAGTTGGGGGAACACTGAGCATGAATGTTGCTCATGAAGCTGTAGAGAAAAATATTAGAGGTGTTTGAGAATTTATATCATGTTTTTATTTGCAAAGATCCAAAAATCACAAATACTAATGCAGAAATAATGGATCAAATGTTTTATTTCTTCCAATGCAATGTAATGTAGAAAAATGCTGGCATGTCTGATATAATAATGTGCATTGGGGGGTGGGGTTAGTATAGTGGTGAGTATTCCCTCCTGTCACACGGGCAGGAGAGCAGTGCTTCAGTTCCCCAATGGTGAGAAGCACATGTATATATTCCACTTTGTAAGTCGCTTTGAATAAAAGTGTCTGCTAAATGCGGAAATGTCAATGTCATTTTATGAGGTAAAAGGAAATTGGAGAATCTGTGTGATGAATTTCAGAGTGAGTACTTTCATGGAAGCAGACAGCAAGTATATTGGCAGAAACTATCTGAGTGTCGCCCTTGGTTATGGTAAGGGAGCCACTAAAGAAGTGCTATACAATGCTATAAGTTCTTCTATAACAAAGAAAATGCAATGTCCTAAATTTAGTTAATTGATCAAAGATTACTTTCCATCTTCTCCATGTCGAAATATGTCATGTCTCTGGTATTACATACTCATATCTGTGCCCTTTTACATCTCAAGATCTTATCTGATAAACGGCGGATTAGCATTTCTTTGAAAATCCCTCACATCTCTAGCGCTAATCTGAGTTTAACTGTCAGTTCACATTTTCTCATGGACTGCAGGGTCTCAGGAGGGACTGGACTCACAATTCCACTCGGATCACTTTTTTTCCTTAATGCCCTTGTGACTGTAACTTTGTCCGCATGAAATGTAAAAGCGAAATGCAGTAAAGCACACTTTATAAGGCCTGTGCATTGTTATATCTCATTTTTATGGCATTTTGTCTAACTGCCGTATTCGGAGATTCAGTTTTTTTTCTTCATGCTGTAAAACTCCACTTTCTGCCATCTGCTTCATTGAGAGACTCGTTTATTCCTGATTTAGACATCAGCGTGTTGTTTCTTGGATGCTTGAAGCTGTGTGGAATGACTGCTCACACGGTGAAGTTATTGGGATCTGCTGCCCTTCTGAGGGTAAATAACAATCCCCCCATGATTTGTAGCTCGATACTCATGTGTGAGGACTTGGTTTATAGTGCTATAAATGACTGTAAAGGGACAGAAACGTGACTCTAAGTGTGGATGTTTGTTGACCAGATTGGTTCTATGTTTAATTGTGATAAAGGTTATTAAACTGTTCTTATATTTTTAACGCATACATGTGACACAGTGGCATGTGTGGCTACTCATGAAAAACTAATGCGAAGAATTGGCATGTGACTGCTTTTTATTGACCGTTCTTTGTTGGCCAGTATGGTTGGAGTTGAAGGTCATAAACAAAGAGCCTGTAGGGCTGCGTGAACTTTAGCTGGCAGCTCAGCTGTCAGTCAGAGCTGGTGTGAGGGCTCTTTTGGCATTTCACACATGATTTTAAATGGACAAAATAATCTCTGATATATGACTACAAGCTATATATAGTTTTGTAATCCTGCTTTTCCATGGTGCAAATTTTCTGTACACACACAAGATAGAACGCATGTCTGGTATGGGAGGTAGTTTCTATTGGCTACTTCAGTCTTCAGGAAACCTAAAGGTAGAAGGTACTGTGTGCTCTTAAAGGCACTTCAGACAAGTTTGACATTTCAGTTAAAACCATTCCCATAGCCAGCCAACCGAGTTTTTGTCTGTAGAACTTAACTGCTGTTTCTGATATGTAAAGCTTCATTTGAAAATGAAAGGTTTTCACATTTGGAATATGAAAAGAGAAATATTAGACCCTCTTTGACAAGTTGACAACTTTCTGAATTGGTCTTGTTTTGCAACAACCTGTCACAGAGCTTTGACAATGATGTGAGCTACACTCAGTAACACCTGAAACTCATCATTATCATACTAAAAGCGTGCATTTCAAATACTTGCAGTTCCCCGCTCAGTTTGCACTGAACAGTCTTCCAGGTACAGTGTTGACTAATCAGGAGACACCGGGAATCTTTAAGGATGTTGTTGGGAATGCTGAGCAATTGACACTATGGCCGGTCACATACTGGATGGAAGAATTCCAAACATTTACCGTGCATTTTGACTGAGCCTAAGGTTTCATTGTGTTTTGTTTAGATTTGTTTTGGAGTCGATGTTCAGAAATGCTACCTCTGTGGGCTACTTCTTAACATTCATTCTTGTACTCCTGGCAGTGCAACAGTGAACCTCCCTGCAAATCTTGCCAACTCACTGCATGATATTTTCATACCTAACTTGCCTGTTGAAAGAGTTACTTTTTTGTTGTTTTTTTTAAACCAACTATATACACACTAAAGCAAAAGCATGCGAATTCTCCTTTTAACTGATCCCCTAATTCATTAGTATAAATATGTAACCATTAATAGATAAGAATCATTATGTAAGGTTTTTCTATTTAGGTTGCCAATGTATTCTGATGCCACACATGAAAACTCTACAGCCGTGTCATCCATCTCTCCACATGTTGTTCAATGATTGCATATCCCAACTTAAGGTTAATTAATCTAGTGACAAATAGCTTTATTCCTCTTTAATTATACTGTATATAACCGCTTTACCTTCTTTTTTCCAATGAGGTAAAAAGAAATTTCAGCCTTGCAAACTTAGTTCATTAGGACATGAGGGCAGCTTATTAAACCCCTCAGCATCCCACTCAAGTTCTTAAGAGCAAATGTTCTATAATGTCTACCTGTACCTATTTCAACTCTAGGAAGTGTTGCCTTTGCGTAAACAAGTCCCTGACTCGTTCTTTCTCTCCTTTACTTTTATGTGCAAAGCTAAGTCAATACAAACGATTCACAGAAGCATTTCTATTCATTTTTCTTTTTTTTGCAACTGCTGGCCCTGACTGAGTCTATTTCCATTATAACGCCCATTGATTCGCTCTAGCGCTTTTGTCATTGCTCTGCTGTTAATGTAATTGAATAGGGCCTTCTTTCTCCTCTCTCCCCTCACCCTGACAGCCCACCACCACACACACACTCTCTCACATCGACTCTCTCTCTTTCCTCCTGCCAGATGTTGCCCGGGCCATTGAGCTGCTGGAGAAGCTGCAGGAGTCAGGTGATGTTCCCGGCCACAAGCTCCAGTCTCTGAAGAAGGTCCTTCAGAGTGAGTTCTGCACAGCCATCAGAGAGGTGAGTCACTGTCTGGGTGGCAGAGGAATACATTCTTCTCTGTTGGTGACCAACAGAGGTCCCTTTAGTAGTGTCTTTGCACGGCTCGATTTTCTTGTCCACAACGTTTTCTGTTTGGTGGGGACAAAATATATTATTTGGAAAAGTTACAGTGTTGAAGCATAACAAAACATGTTTAAATAATTAACAGTAAGCAACAGTTACAAGTGTAGTTTCAAAATGAGTTGGAGGCCATTGTTCCAAAGACAAGGGAAAGACCATTGAGAGGTATTTAATAAACTGAGACATCGCAGCGTGCCATTTTCCAACCCACTTCGGTCAAATATGATGTGTCCACTGTTTGGACCAATAAAATCAATGAAAGTATTCCGTGGTCCTCCCGCCTTTCCTTATTACTTGTGAGATTCGTCCTTGTCTGCTGTAAAGTGGCCCCCAGTCATCTGCATTCTGCTGGTAGATTTCCAGAGAACCTTGGATTTATTGTTTTTTTTTCTAAAACGATTTGTACAGCAGGCATAAAAGAATTTGATAAATGAGAAAGAAATTCACACAACACGCAAGTGTTCAATAGAGTGATGGTAGCTAACGACGCATTCATAACTTTCTGTCAATGGATATGACTTTACACTGTCAGTGCTTTTTTTGCATTTGTCAAGTGAAACTGTATTTAAAAACTTCACAGGAGCAAATAGCTATTATCTACATGACCGCTTTCATGATTCCAATAAAGTTGAATGTTATGAAAATGGAATGGCTACTCGTGCCTTTTCGTGCATGTTAATCCCCTGAATAAAACACTTTAATGATAAAATATACTACCACTGTGAAAGGGATGTTATAAAAGTTATTACTGTCCCCATTTTTGTAGATACAGAGTTGTATGAAGTGTTTTAGGGGCTCAGTGTAAGGCGTTGGCTCAGTTTGTTCTGGTGTGAGGGGCTGATGCACCAGTGAGACACACAGCGGTTTACTGAGGTCAAAATATGCCCTCTGGACAGCAAGCATGTGCTCTTCGTTCACTTATTTCAGTTCTTGTTTGAAGTTAAAAGCCAACACACCCTGGTGGTCGTTGAATAAACCAAAGGGCCTAAATTTCGAGGTCTCTCTGAGGTCACTTTTGGTGCTTTGAAACCCAACCCATGTGGAGTCATGAGAACAAACCTGAAGTGTGTACCTCTAATCCCCACTAATGGACAAATGACAGCATAAGGAAAATATCAGAGTTTACGCCTCTGAGTTCTTACAGCTGATGCTGAACAGGAAAACGTGAGGGACCTAATGATTTTTTTTTTCAATGCTTCAAAAACTCACACACAGCTTTTTAAATAAAGAGTTTTTCATTACGTTCAACACTTGATAAGCTTGTTATGCTGAATTTTAATTAAGCCAGATAACTTTTTCTTTTAATCACATTTTGCAGTGACAAATAGAATGTGTCCATCATAAAACAGGAGCTCTTGTTTTTCTTCTCTTGTCGAAATGCTTTCATTTGAAAGCCATCATAGCAGCCCCTCTACTAATCCATCACTGGAACATTTTTCATCAGAAGAGCTTTGGTATAAAGCAAAGGACAGTCCCTCATCACTAACAGCACATCTTGTGTATTTAGAGCTCTACGTTTTGTTTTCTGTAGCATGTGGCAGTAGCACGAGTTGAACCTGGCTTGAAGAGCAGGGTTAAAGACACTACAGTAGCTTCTGTCCCAGTTGTCAACAAAGTCTAGTTTGACTTAGAATGAAGACAGTCATCAGAATCGATCATAACGCGGAGTGAGATTAATTTGTGTAGTAAATTAAATAATTGTGTAATAAGAATTTGCTGCTTCGTAGGGGGGAAAAAAGCACCATGATACTTTTTGTACAATCAGCGCATTTAAGGTTTTTAAATAAAGGTGTTAAAATTTTGTGATTAACAGGGCCGACTTTTACAGCTCCAATAAATGAAAAAAGGTTGTTCAGTCTAAAAACGCGTGCTAAAAGGTGGTTTGTAATAGGCTGAGTGGGAGGAGTGACTCACTGTGCTGCACACAAATGGAAATGTAACAGTGGGTTCTCATAGCTAAAAGTTAGGGTCAGATTGTTCTGTAAAAAGTTGTTGCATTTTTGTTTTTTAAAGCAGACGTTGTTCGGGCGTGACCTCAGACAGTGTCCAGCTTTATTCTGCTGGGGTCATCTCAGCACAGGCTGACAATTCCTGGCACAGACGACACGCCCGGCAACTGGCTGAGTGATTTCAGTGTCAGTCACTGGGGTGCATTGACAGATTCGCACAAAAAACCTCAAAAGTGGCAGCAGTTGTCCTTGGCCATCCGGCGTGGGTTAAAACCACTTCACCCACAAAGAGCTGGCTAGGCACAATCACCAGGGAAACGGTGGTGCTTTGGCTGGAAGAGTGGCGAAACACAAAAAAAAAGAAGCTATTTGTGCCATATCAAGAACAGATCATTTTCTTATATGTGTTATTGTGTCATAAATATTAGTACTGTTACAATGTGGAGTATAGTATACTTTTTATGTATAAATTGTATAGTGTTTTGGAACAACTTTGTGCTCCAATGCTCTTTTTATTAGATCCAATTTTGATAGGCAAACTTGGAATGAGTCTAGTTTGAAGAGGGTGTATTGACCTGATATCGTAAAGTCTCAAACAGGAGTCGCAAACTCCTGGCTCCTGGCCCACCTTTGGCCTGAGGGCCGAAACACCTTTTTATTTACCATGATATGTGTAAAAGGGTTGGTCTACCAATAGTTGTCTTTTTGTACTACTCTGACTATGAGGTGGCCCTCTTAGTCAGGACAGTGAGGGCAGTATCTCATTTGAGTTTGAGACCCCTGGTCTAAAGTGTCTAGCCTTGCAGAGGTTCTGTTATCTGTGGAAAAAACCTTCTAAAAATTGTAAAGCAGTTTCAAATCAATGTTTGTCAGCATAAAACTGAAAAGACTGATTGATTGTGCATAATATCAAAAGATTGACAGAATATGCAGGCCTCTCTGTGCGCAAGGGAAACAGTTGAAAATCAATACTGGATTTCCCTGCTCTTCGGACCCTCAGGTGTTGAAATGTTGCATTTAGAAGTTTGTTTATCCAATGGAAATCACTGCAGGAGCTCAAAAGCTTTTATATAAATAGTTTTCCTGTAAATACAGCTCACCACGCCATCCACGCATGCAGGTTAGAGCTCTTATCATGAAAAGAAAAAGCCATATATGAAATGCTACTATTTTTAATGGACCAAAGACTGAGAGAGGCGAAATGGAAGTGTTCTTTGGTCAGATCCGTCCAAATTTAACATGTAAACTGTGTCTTCGATCTAAAGAGGAGATACACCATCCAGCTGGTTATCAGAGCTCACTCTATCATACTCTACCATCCAAACTGCTCATTGTTAGCTCAGGATATGCGTATTTCTACAAGGCAATGCTTAACTACACAGTGCATCTATAACAAAAGCTCGGCTTCAAGTCAGGGGATTTTTTTTTAACCAAATATCAAGAACCGAAAATCTCTAAAAGCTCATCCTCATAAGATTATGACATAACTTTGTCTTTTGCAGAAAATTAGGGGGGGATGGAACGACCGCGATTTACAGAGTGAAAAATGGTCATGAGGTGCTTTACCAAGAACAAATTTCTTCCACTTAAAAACTTTTTTTTGCAGTATAATGATATTCAAATGAATTTTTTATGCACTCACCTCTCTTTTCTGTGCGAAATCATTCAGTGTTAAATTCTCCCAGGTTAAAGGAGCCATTAGATCTGGTTTAAATTTTCAGCCCAACCCTCCTGTTTTATATTTTTATCTCAACCACCTTGTGGCATTTCACCCAAGCGGATGACCTTTCTTTACAGTTAAATTGCCTCCTCTGATATGATTCCTTCTCTTGCACATATGTGTGATGATACTAATTTCACAGTCTGCCGGGCCACCTCAGAACCTGACGGTGTGGACGCACTAATCTTGTAAGTCAGTTTCCAAACCCAATTCCTGTCTTTACATGCATAACAGTAGAATTTGCAGAACATGAATCAACCTTGTTCAGGATGACAAGCTAGCTGACAAAATGAGGAATGATCAGCTGGGAAAAGAGCGGCCTCAGCAGAGTTGGGCTAAATGACAAAGAGACAGAGTTTGATGAGCTGGTTATCTTTCCACGCCACACTCTTTAAAGGCAAAGGCGGTGGGGAGAGTCTCGTGCTTGTGTCTCATTGCATCACCGTGAATGAGTTGTCGGGGTCAATCAGTTTTCCAAATGGGAAAGGAAGGGCACACCACGAGAAGGCTGGAGGAGCTAACAAGCTGGAAATGATTGAGGGGAGGGAATTCATACTATATTGGGTTAGAGAGTCCCACTTGACAGGCATGGAGAGTGCAATAAGCAGGCCAGTGCTGCCGCAACTTTAATAAGCGTTAAAATCTCATACTTCTTCAGCAGAGATTTCCAATCAGCATAATTGACTTTACGTTTATTTATTTTTTATATAAAAGCCAAAGCAAGCACGGATAGGGGATATGAGCTGATTCCACCACAATGCCTCTGCCTCCCACATCACATTAAGTTAAAGGATGAGAGATACGTTTAGTTGGTTTGTGCAAGTAATATATTTCCCCATATGTGTCCCATGGTTTGCTCTTTTGAGATGGAAGGTGCACTTTTGAGTCCTACGCTGGTTTTCATCCATTTTACCAATATGGGCCAGGCACGACTCCTATAATTTCTTTCATTAAACAGTCAGCAGGCATTCATGGTCACAGGCAGCATCACCAGTTAACCCTATAGGAAGTCTCTCAGACTTTTGGCGTTTCAGGGGTCTGTGAAATGTAAACAATTTGTAACAATTGCTTTGCAACACCAGGAAGTGGCTTTTTAAAAGCCAAGAGCAGCCAAGAAAATAGGGGGCAAGCATTTAGAAACACAAAACAGTTAGTTCCTTTTAATGCCTTCACTTTGGTGCACAGCATGGGGGAGTATTGGTCAATTTTTGCCATTTTAAAAGCCTTTGTCTGACTTGTAAAGATAATATCATTGCTTATGTACTTTGATATGTTTAACGTCGCTAAAAATTCTGCTGTGTAGTATTTAGTTGGATTTGTTTACTTGAGCCACTGTTGTTTTCTACCGAAAAATGAAACATCAGCCTCTTTCACTTGTCACTTTACATGTTGAAAAGGCCATCTCATCAGGCGATCTGATGAGATTCCAGAGGTATTGTTCAGAGTTCTTGGGTGAAAACTGCCTGTGACGAGCCCTGGCTTTTTATCAGCATGTGTTTTTTTCAGCTTCCCCCCTGCATCATTTTTGTTTTTCTGGTCTTCATTTATCATTGCACTTGTCTCCTCTGAGCACCAGCAAACAAATCTTTCCACCAGCTGGCAAAAGCAGCAGAGCATTCCATTTAGAAAGAGCCAGATTCTTCCCGTTGAGCTGAGAGGAAGGGCAGCTACTTTTAGTCAGTCTGTGATAGAATGCTTTCACGTTCATGTTCAACCCATAACTTCCGACTCTTTAAGCATTTACAGCAATTGCCATGTTCAAGAAATAAAAAAAATGGATATTTGTCTTTGCATTATTTGGACATCTCAGAATTGGTCATTTTAGCCTAAACGATTCAATAGTCAAAAACTTTGTGTTGCAATATTCTTCATAAATAAAGATTGATTCATTAACTGAAAAGTCATCTCTAGTCTGTTATTCTATCTCCCGGACCACATCATTAAAATGTGCAGGAGAGTTTTTTTATCCTCTAATTGACAAATGGCATAGCAAAACCGATGAGGGGATTACTTGTGAGAAGATGGCCTCATTAATTGAGCCTGTGGCTATTTTAAAGAGCATCACCGCTGCCACCCTCAAGAAACCTGAAAATGTCCTTTTTCACGGTGTGTTCGCTTTTTTCCAAAGCAGCTGATGTCAAGTACCGCATGAGCATAACTCTATCTGCAACACTCCTGTCATGCTCTAATAGAGCCACTCCTAATACATTTAAATAACAAAGAACAAGGTTTAAAGCCCAAAAGACATCAATTTAACAGATAGATTAAGCCAGCATTGTTCCATGTCTGTTATCTAGAAGGTCGTAAGTGGAACAGTTTCAGACAGAATGAATAGCTCTAATTACCTGTTGCAGTATTGTTTAAAGAAAAGGATAAATGAGGGGAACAAGACACCATCTCTCTGTAAAGACCGAAGACAGGAACAACTTGTGTGGTAGTTATAATACTTTCCTCGGGACTCTAAAAACAAAAAGGTGGCAGGAATCTCAGGAAGAGGTATCATTTGGGGGATGAGTGTGTCTGTTGATGGCATTCTCATGTGAACTTTTGGCTTGTGCTAGCAAAATCCGCCCATTTGTTCTCTGAGATTCAAGAGCAAACAAGCCAACAGAAGCTATGTTTTTGGCTCCCATTTCGAGTTGCTTACACAAAGCTACCCTTCGGGTTTTCCTCCGAATAACTGACAACATAACATGACATCTTTCGTGCAATTTAAACATTTAATCTGTGACCATCGTCAGCCCATCAATCACCTGAAACCTCTCTGTCCATCTTTCTTGCAGTATTTATTCATATTCCAGTTGGATGTACAACTCAGTTCTTTAAGGTTCTGTTGTGCAGCACCCACAAAAGCTACATAAATGTCAAAGGTCTGCTGTCTGGACTAATTGTGTGCGCTTGAGCAGATCGAAATCCTTGTTACCCACTTGGAAACTGTATTACTATTTAATATGCTTTATTACTATTCTACATACATATAGAGCAGCTGAAGTGTGCTAGAGTCATTGTTTATAAGAATGAGATTTACATGATCATGTATCAGTCTGTATGTGTCACTAATAAATTCTCTTTCTCAATTATCTGATTATCCATCGGTGTATTTTTAGATATTCAGTTTTGGATTTTTATATTACAAGTTGTTATTGAATTTGACAAAGCCTTTCATATTTCCATGTCCAAGGTAACAATAAGTATCTACTATTCAGAGAACTATTGCAGGATATTACGTGTGGTAGTATATAGCACTGTATTCCCATCAGTCAGCCTGTTTTAATGAAGTATGAGTCTGTGCAACCAGCTGTGAAGGAACACCATTATTTGACTATGGAAATGAGTTGGGGAGTGAACTCATATTTCAAACCTGTGTAATTACAGCCCCTGTCTTTCTTCATTTCTTTCAGGTGTACCAGTATATGCATGAAACAATTACAGTGAATGGCTGCCCGGAGTACCAGGCGAGAGCCACGGCCAAGGTGGGAACCATGTTGGAGATTCATCTTGACATCTATTATTTGAAATCAAAACATCATGCGTCTCAGCTGAAATATCCACCTCAGTGTACCAGCTGTCAATCTCTTTAACCAGCAATATTGTTTAAATCCTTTCCTCTGTCCATTGTAGAATTAGATCACCGCTATATCTTTACTACAGGTCCTCATTAAAAATTATTTCAAGTAATCAACAGAAACCCCCTTCTAGTAATAAAATGTGATTGTTGATATTATGTTAAGAACTATGTCAGCTGTATAACACTAAAGAATCTGAGACAAAAATTATTATTAAAATTATTATTAAAAGTGACCTTGAGGTACATATGAGTATTCAGTAGACTTAATTCCAACTCTCGTCCATAATTTAACAACATCAGCATGAGACCATATTGTGATTAAAATGGGCCAATGGGTTGCAGATAGAATATTTTATTCCTATTCCCATTTCGGCATTACAGAACTTGGTCCAATTAATGACTCATACCCACATTGCATTCCTCGAAGTCACTTCAATGTTTAGCGCAGAGTTCATTTCCATATTTTTCAAAACATGGAGCGTTAGTCTGTCTTCTCCATAGAAAAGAGCAGTGTACTCTTTTTATGGCAGCCATCATATTTGGCACAAAATTCTGTCAGAGCCTGTGTTGCCATATTTAGTCAAAGAAAGAGTCCAACTGATCCATGAAAACAAACCCAATGTTACTCATAGCATATGGATCTTGTAACTGTGGAGCTTTGGCTATGTGATATAATGCAGGAGTGTGTCATCAGATGTTGAAGAATACAGTGTGATGTGATGTAGCTCTGCACATAGTTTATATTGATTTGCTTACTATAATCGTTATACATCAAATTCCCATTGAGAGTTTTGTTTTATTTATCCTATAGTATGTTATTGTTGCTGTGTATGCAAATGTTTTTAAAGTGCAGAGCAGGGAATTTGTATATGAGCCAAATTAGCAGACACTCCCATTTTGAAACTGGGTAAGAGATCCAAGCTATCACTTATTAACAGTACGTTTTTTGTTCCTGTTGGGCAGGAGGTGTAAAAGCTCATTTATATAACTTTTTTTTTAGTGAATGGAAAAAATCAGATGTGATGTTCACTGCATATCTTATTATTCAGAAAGTTTGACTTGCTTACAAATGGGATCGTGAGGTCTTCTTCTGACAGACATCAAGTGCTCATTAATAGTTCAAACACCTCCACTCACAGTAGATAAATAAAAGCACCTCCCTTAAATTAAACCCAAATGATAAAATAATGTAAATCCAACATAAGAAAAACGATAAAGGTTAAATCCTTTTTTGTTAGAATTATTAACAAATATATGCTTTTTTTATAAACAAGTCCACAAAAGGCAGATCCAGAAACATATTTTTCAGGCAATCACAGAATGCACAAATTTACACTACATTGAGACAGGGATATTACGCCGCTTACAACCATTCCTTAAGTTTAATTTGGTATTTGGTTAGTATAATATGTATTTTTCATTATTTTGAACATTGTAAGTTTCTAAATTTAAAAAGCAATAACAATAGCTCACTTTGAAGATTGTGTATCCAAACAGAGTGTTAGCAATGACTCAGGCGGGATCATCCTCAATGATGCAATAAAGATGCTCAAAAGTTGACAAAGCATCTGAATAAACCCTCCTTGTTTACCTACTGTTTATATTCCATTATGCACAAAAACAGTATCACGTGTGTAGTCGTGTGCAGAAAAATCAGCAGCAAAACTTGTATTATTCTTTTCAAGGTGTCAAAAGCACAAAGCCCTGAAATGCCTAATTTGCAGGTCAGTCCTGGGCACCTATGCAAACAATGAAATTATCAACAATACTTTTCCCCTGGAGCATATTGTTGTCTTTATGGCATTGCAAAAGTTTCTGCTTCTTTCATCTTATGTCAAAGAGAGGGAAATAATGCAGAGGACTCTTCCTAAAGCCTCTGGCACTTTACTGAATGTCACAAGGTTTTATTTCATAACAATAAACATAACATTGCAGAACCTTTTATTTTTTTTACAAAGAACATATAGCTAAGTGACAAGAAGATCTTATTTTTAGAAGCACCATCAAATGTTGCTGTTGTTCTGATCAATATAGAGAATCCAAAAGCAGCAAAGATCCCTGGCAAATAAAAGCTTCATCATAAGTTATCAGGAGAGGACCAGTGGTTATTAGAGCTGAGGACAGAGGCAGGTGATGGTGAAAGGCTGAGGGAAGCTGGCAGAGGGCTGGTAAGCGCGCTGGGGAATGAAGATTTGGGGCAGACAGGCCTGAATGGATGCAGGTGGAGGACGAATGGACCTGCTGCACAGATAGGAGAGGATTAATCTAAAAGTCAAAATACATGCGAGATGGTGAAGGTTGGGCGAGGAGCCTAAAGAGCTTTTGCTTCCACACTTGGTAACTTGACAGTCTGGTGAGAAAAATAGATGAAAAATCTCTACTAAAACACTACTGAGCTGATGAGTACATGTACGTCGACAATTAGTTCAGAAGCAGAATTAGAGGTGGAGGTCTTGCTGCACGGGCGCATGCCCACAAAAGGAGGTGCTTGTACTTGTACAGAACGTGCTTCAAAATGTAATTGCATTAAATCAGGCCCTGACGTATTTGTTCCAGGAGCCCCAATGATCAGAGACACATTCTCAGCGCTTCTGTCTGTTGATGACTTTGCATGCTAATTTTATTCAATCCGTGACAACTGCACATAAGAAGTGGCTGTTGCCTTAGACTTTACATGATGGGGACTTTTACAATTTGTGAGCAAAACTGGTGATAAAACAAGATTCAAATGGAATCCCTAAACACAACCACCAGGCACAGCTGCACTTTACTTTTTCTCTTGTATTTTTTTTGCAGCTGGGCTCCATATAACCCTCACAACAGTTCACATATCCTACGTCAAATTCAGGTTATGATATCTTTGTCCCAACTGTCTCACGTGATTCTAGAAAATGCTCAGAAAGTTTAAAAGCATTGGGTGGCAGCCCTCTTACCGCTGATTTAGATGTGTGAACGCTGTTATTAATGCTGTGATTGTTCGATTTACAGCGTGCACTGCTGCTCTTTAGCATGTAATTGCATTTCATCAATCGTAGGCGTGCCAAGATGATCATATTGCAGCTTTCAGGGAAATTAAACCTTTGGCCATCATTGGCAGCTGACTTTAAAAAGGGAAAAGCAGTGCCATTGTTCATCAAAGCAAAGCATTAGCCCACGCTGGCACACGCAGCGGCATTCTTTTGGCTGTTAAAACATCCTGCCTCAATCTCAAGTATTTTTTCCTGAATATTTTAAGTTGACAGAAAATGTAAGTCTGCAGTTGGCTTTGGGGTTGGGGGAAAACTACAGACAAAAAATACTAATCAATATTAGCTTTAAAATACACTTTCCCGGAAAAAAAACAGCAACTCCACAGCAGTGAATGAGATAAATGTTTAATGAGATAAATGTTTAATGACTCAGTGACAGTAATAAAGCTTGCAGCTTTCCACTATTTGAAATTCTCAGTTTTCTTTCGATTAGGAAATCAGATTTTTTATTCAGTATTTGCCCTCTAGAATAATCAGCCATTAACACTTTGAAAAGGCATACGTTTCACACAACGAAGGACAAATTTGGCAATCAAAGCAGCTTGATTCAAGTGGAACTTTCCATGAAGGATAACAAATATAAAAGGCCTGTCAGATTTCTTGTAAAGAGGAGAAAAGGACTGATGATATTTAAGGACGAGGGGCGCTATGAGTACTTGTTCCCTCATTATTTCAGTGTCCAGCTAAGTGTTCTTCTCTGACAACACGATACGTGGGTGGAGGATAGTACTAGAAAGAGATGACAAAAACAATGACTGAAGGGATTTTTGTGTTCGACTAAAGTCAGAATAAATTAGCCTTCCAATAATGAAAATTGCTCATCGTCTCATTTATCGTTACTGTTTGTCCTCTGAGGTTCACATTCATGTTGAGTAGAGCACTAACTGCTCATCTTGCTAAACTTTCCACTTTTTTGTGAAGGAAATTTGCATCACCCATTTCCAGGTGTTCACTCATCTTTGATTTGCATAATTACTTTAAGCTCTGGGAAAGAGAAAGTCTTTAAAGTTGGCAAGTACTTTCTGCATAAGAACGAAAGATTTTTGTTTTGTTGCCTTTTTCTGGTAAACAAATCTGGTTTATCTAACCAGAAAAGGGAGAAGTTGTTTCCAAGGTTCCTCTTTAAAAACTGGGTCACTGATGCAGAGTAAAGTTCTCCCATGTAAATATTTGGGATTCAGTTTGAAACAGTCTTATTTATGTTGTGCCAAATCGCAGCAAACTTCATCTCAAGGAACTTCAAAGGTACAGTCCATTTCAATCCAGTTCCCTGTAATATTATCATAATCCAATCAAATCGAAAAAAAGATAATTACAATTCAGATTGGCACAATCTTCAATCTCCATATAGAACCAATAAAAAAAATGTGGCCTGGATTAGAAAAGCTAACAGATTGCACCCAAACGATCCAATCCTCCATCATGAGTATGCACAAGGCAGTGGTAAAAAGTGTGCGTGTGTGGCTCAACCAGTCGATTCTCTTTGATTGCCCTATTGATTTAACCAATTGTTTGTCTCTGAGGCTTTTGGAGACCAGACAAGAGAAGAAAGCTGATGATGAGGTGACTTTGCATATATCTAGTGGACTGAGTACCCTCGGCGGACCTTTTATTCAGTGTCCCTCCTCTGTCTGTGAGGCCAGGGCCATCTGTCGGATTATGTTTTTGTTTGCAAATACCCAGATAAAGTTTTGAAGGTCAATGTAGGATGAGTCCTGGGAGGGAACTGTATGCGTGCTCAGGAATGCCTTTTAGCTTTGCAGTGGGACGGATTTAAGCTGGAGCACGGAGCATTAGAGGGCAATTGACAGACAGGGGGAAAAAGAGGAAAAAGGGGCACCCATGATAAAAATAAGTAAATTTTAAGCAGAACTGATTAGGGATCTGAAGATCCATATGAATGAATGCTGAAAACAGAACAGAAATGGAGATGCTGCTTGGAAGGTACAGAAAAAGGTGTCAAACTGCCCCCTGGCCATTTTAACCACAAAAGTTTCAAACACTTTCCCCTTAAAAACTTTTTTAAAAAACCCCTAGCCCTCAGGTGTGAAGCACCTGTGGCAGTCCATATGCGGATCGGTGAAAAACAGAATAATTGTTTTACCGTCCATCTGCGATTGGCTTTGCTTAGCTGGACTAACAGGCTCCTGGGTGCTTTGTTCTGAGTGTTAAAGGCTTGCGGTTCAAAGGAAACCCACAGCTGGTGGGAGACACTGAGTGGGGAAAGCTGTCTGGCTGCTCCTCCATCGTGTGCTCAGATGTGCTAATCCGCATGCTTGGAAAGCCCGAAAACTTCTCATGTGGAGTCTTAATCCTCCATCCCTGACTAAATCCTGTCGCTTTGTCATGGCCATCTTTGCAGTAATGAGATGGTGCACACCCTGCTCGGCAATCACTTTGTCATGCCTCTGAATTTAGTTCTCCTCATTTATTCATTTTAGCCTAAAAGTTTGTACAGACCGCAGTGCTTTGAGGAAAAGGCAGTACACTGTACCAAAGTTTTTCTTGTCCTTAAATGCGTGTGTTTTATTAGATTCCTAACTTGGTTCCCAGCTGCACTTCCACTGAACGCGTTTTCTTTGTCTCTCCGAAGGCCACGGTTGCAGCCTTCGCAGCCAGCGAAGGTCATTCCCACCCTCGGGTGGTGGAGCTGCCCAAGACGGAGGAAGGGCTCGGCTTCAATGTGATGGGCGGCAAGGAGCAGAACTCCCCCATATACATCTCCCGTATAATTCCCGGGGGAGTGGCCGAACGGCACGGCGGCCTGAAGCGAGGGGATCAGCTACTGTCTGTCAACGGTGTGGTAGGTCGACCTAAGCTTAGATTCTGATGCAGCACGGGAAGAGAGGATGAATAGATTATAGATAAGCCTCTTTGACACGAAAAATTCTATCCTCTGCTGAGGTATTTATAGCGTTTTCTCACAAAGTGTTTGATCGCCGGTTTGATATGAGAGTTGGGAGAGCTATTGAGGTCAAAGATGTTGCACACATCTTGAGTAAAAAAAATGGGAAACTTTTAAACCCACTGGAGAGGCTTTAATCACACACACTGGAAAGCCTGCTCATTCCACATAATCGCGGGGTATTAAAAAATGCTGGAAAAAAAAACTCTTTTCATCCAGAGAGAAGCTACTATTCTTAAGGATGTGTTCAAATCAGATCCCTTAAAAACGTGGTCCCTTCTCATTCTCTGCTAGAGCGTTGAAGGAGAGCATCACGAGAAAGCGGTGGAGCTGCTGAAGGCGGCCAAGGACACCGTCAAGCTGGTGGTCCGCTACACCCCCAAGGTGCTGGAGGAGATGGAGGCCCGCTTCGAGAAGCTGCGCACGGCCCGGCGGCGTCAGCAGCAGCAGCTCCTGATGCAGCAGCAGCAGCAGCAGCAGCAGAACCTGTCCTCCCAGCAGAACCACATGTCGTAGGTGAGGCGCTTCATTGCTTTAAGGGTGCGGGGCGGGGCGGGGTGGGGTGAGGGTAGTGGGGTGGGGTGAGGGTAGTGGGGGGGGGGTGAAACACAGGGTGCCAGAAACACAGATGGCATTTTGCCGTTGCACGGTACGACTTCAGCTCTGTCAAGATTTTCAATTAAATTAAGGTGGTGAGTTGAGTTAATTAACGCTCTATTTTTAAAGCTAATTACACGTTGTGTTCAAGATTCAAAATCTAATTTCCTTTCACTCAAACAATAGCACAATTGTAACAAGTGAGTGTTTCTTCTATATATGTTACAGATTCACTTTCTTAAGATCGTCTGGTAATCTGATTAATGAGGAAGCCCCACTGTTATTTTTTTATGTTAAATTTGGTAAAGTATGGTAAATTTGGTTGTAAATTAAAAATCAACTTCAAATTCCAACATTAACAGAACAGCTTGATTCTGAAATTGTCCCGCACATCCTGGGCTCTGACACCACTCAAATCTCCCATAGGGAAATGGAAACATTTTTGTCCTGTGCACAGGCTCATCAATAATACTTTGTCTAACTTAGAAACAGAAAATCAGATTCATTTAAAGGAGCAGTATTTGCAGTGCAAATTGAAAAACCCGTCCTGACCAAACCGAGGAACCATGCAATGGAAAAATGCCAAAAGTAAAAGGCTAACAGGAGTAATAATAAAGGCTGAGGATAGGTACAAATATGGCCTCCTGGCTCCTGAAATACCAACACCATTGCTGCTCAGTACAGAACTTAAGGTTTTAGAATCTGCTCTTAAAGGCTGTCAAAGGAAGACTTAAATTAATGCTCATAACTTAAATATCAGTGTGACTGTGTTAAGTAGTTTATATTGATATGAGCAGCTTCAGCATGTAAATATTTCTATACTTGTGAGCTTGTGATGTCTCACTGTATTTTGACAATCATGCATAAAAAACTCCAGCTTGAGTCATTATTTTTTTAATCTGTTGATGGCTGACTAGGACTACAGTCGATTTTGTTCCATTCCGAAATGTCTTTGTAATTAATACTGACCATTAAACTTAAACTTAGCTGTTGAAAGTGTAAAGTGGCAGATTTTGCAAACAAAGATTAAAACGACTGTAAAAGAGAAAAATGTAAATGAAAGCAAGTTCAGTTGTTCTCTTTGAGTTTTGAGTCCTGGTGCTCTGTTTTGCCTCCGAAGCATTTTGTCTTGTGTGCAAGACAGCGTGTTCAAGTACAAAGCCTGAAACCTCTGCGGTAGTGTTTGTGCAAACAGCACAGCTTCCCATGTGATTCTGTTGCAAGGGGTTATAAATTATTTAAACTGAAACTGATTACATCTCTGGCTTCATCTCTGCAGGTACACGGCTTTCGTAGGTGCACCTTCCGCCGTTGTTTTCCTGCAAAATTTAGAAATGAGCTTTGAACTATTACTCAAAATAACACGAATTCACAAGAAAGTAGTGTGTTTCCCTGCTCTGACATTCTCTAATTATTCAATTCTTTCCCCTGACATATTGGAGCAGGGCGTAGGTCCACCATCTCCCCGCTCTTGATAAGCATGCCACTTTTGATAGTAAATCCCCCAAGCCTATCTGTTGTCTTGCACAGCTTGGGAAGGTATTTGGGAGCTTGTAACATAGTGTTTCGGTTGAGCCGCAGAAAGGGAGCCGAGCAGGGATCTTATTTATCAGTGCTGGCACGCCAAACTCAGAGATTCGCTCTGGCTGCCAAGAGGACGGTGACCAAGTGACATGCACGAGCAGGCAAGAGAGCAGCTCAAGTCACCGGGCTGCGGGGTTAAGATTAGCCCTGCGAGGAAGCATGAAGCCATTGCTCTCAGCTTGTTTTTCTCTTGTTTTTTCTTTTCTTTACCTGCGATCTACAGGTTGTTCCAAAAGAAAAAGAAGTAAAGAAGAAGGGCATGGTGGATCTCAAAGATCCCCCGTGTGTGGAGAGGATCTGAAAGGAGCCCCTTCATCACAGAGCCCAACAAGAAGACTCTTTTGCATAGTCACCTGTACTTCTCCCTTCCAGTGTACCACAGATAACTGAGCAAAGACAAAAGAAGGCTTTTTTTCTCTGAAATTGGTGCTTTAAAAAAAAAAAAAAATGTTGGGACTCTGAAAGTTGTCCAGTTGAAATTTGTATTCCCTTTTGATAAGTTGTGACTCTTGCTGAAGCTCACTTTCTTGTGTTTGATGTTTCTTTGTTTTTTTTTACAGTTCCATTTGTCACACCATGGAACCTCTGCCATCTCGCAATAGTTCTCATTTGCAGTGTTGGGGAGTAACGGATTACATGTAACGACGTTACGTAATTTAATTACAAAAAAAGAGTAACTGTAATTCGTTACAGTTACAATTAGAAAATATGTAATTCAGTTACAGTTACTTCCGAAAATATTAAGAATTACTGATTTAGTTACATTTTAAAAAAAATATAAAGAAAAACCTTTGCAAAATATGCAACTCACTGATAGACGAAGCGTATTGATTTACTAATATTTGACTGTTTGGTGTTGATGCATGACAAACGTTATCAATGGCTATGACCTAGCCTAGCCTAGCCTAGCCTACCTAGCCTACCCAACTGTAGGGTGACCAGACGTCCTCTTTTTCCCGGACATGTCCTACATTTCAGACTAGGGTTGTCAAAAGTATCGATACTTAAAAAAGTATAAATGTTGAATCCGGATTGTTTATGATCATTAACAAGACGTTAGCCTTGAGCTGCTAGCTGCGGCCAATAGCTAATACTAACATGCTAAAATGAATCATGGGTTAATACTCATTAAAACCTTAAAGTAATCAAAAAGTAATCAAAAGTAATTAGTTACATTACTTTTTAAAAGTAATCGAAAAAGTTACACTACAATTACATTTTAAACAAGGTAACTTGTAACTGTAACGGATTACATTTTTAAAGTAACTTACCCAACACTGCTCATTTGTACAGTGGTGTTTTTCTGTTGATTCTTCGACTGGTGCTTGTGTCTCTGTATGAATGACCTTGATTTCCCGTCCCGTTTTTTGGATACTCTTTTTTACCTTCTATATTGTAGCAAGAATAAAAACGTTTTGTATCTGATAGGTTTAGCAATAACACACGTTCCTCAGTTTTTCATGTTTTGCCACCCTATTCATGATCAAATACACACAGTAGTGCATACAGTATGCAGTTAATGTGCAAATATAAATCACTGTCAAGCAAAGCAGGTCTCATGCACTGTAAGGCAGCTTCGGAGTCTAAATCCTCTGTGCCACTTGAAGAGATTATTGATTTACAAGCAGCATGTAGAATTAAAGTGCAATGCTTGATGAAAGAGTTTATTCGGTTACCCAGACCTAAATATATCTAGAAAAATATGTGATACAAAGAGACCAATCTCAATAATCAGATTTGCCAACTATCCTGTTCCCGACAGGTAAACAGAATGTCATCAGTTTTAATCTCCTAGATATTAAATGAAAAATATGATAGAGTTATGTTTATTTTTCTGCAGATTTTATAGCCCCTTAAATGTATAACATAGAGTTTTATTATTCCTTTAGACTATGATATATTCTTTCTCAGACATGCAGATTACTATTTAATATAAATTCATCGTGCAACAGCTGAGTTTTAACATGTAGTTTTAAAGAACTGTTATCTTTTTTTGTATGTTTTGTCAACTTTTGAGACTAAATGGAGTGTTTGGACTTTTTTCTTTGTATCTGTAAGAGGAATCTATTACCCCACTCAGTTAAGTACCTGAACTCTTCGGTTAGAGTGACAACCCATCCGTTGATTAGCTGATTACTTTTCTCTCTATGGTGCTGAGCACTCATTTTTCTGGTTTCTTTTGTCATGTAAATATCCATCGTACTTTGTTCTTCTGTATTTTCTCATGGTAATGCTCTAGTTTCCTCAACCATGCAGGTTTTTACCAGTCTGGCTTTTCTATCTTCTTTCAATTCCAAAAATACTCAACATGGGAAAAGATCATTTCCATAATACCAGATTTTATCTGGTAATATTCTAGGAAACCACATTATCATTTAAATATTGCAGATAATTTATTTAGAGTGATTTGCACATTCCAAAAATTTTAAATTATTTATTTAAATTCATCAGTAAACTATCACATCACTGAAATTCTGAAAATGCGCCACACGTCTGCAAAAATGAGACCATTCCCCAAATAACCTGTCAGCATTAAGGCAAAGTGATCATAATGATTGGGTTTTATATTAAATAAATCATATTGAACTCTGCATAAAAAATCTCACACAAACCATTTTTATATATTTAACTTTTTTCTTAATTGACTTGCATTTTTAAAGCTAATGGTCCTGTACTTACCGTGAAGATGACAAAAAAAGACAACAAACTGTTCATATGCAATTGTTATACATATTATATTTGTATAAATAAATCTATGTGCTTGTGTACATTGGCTGCTTTGTTGATTTATCCATTTACATCCTATTCTGCATTTTTGTGGTGTTCATTCAATATTGGTTAGTGTTGTCAAGAATTATTAGAAGCTATGACATGAACTTAACATCTTCAACACATGCAAATAAGCCACTTTTTTACATTTGAATTAAATGTTCAGCGCATGGAACGACAACCAGAAATGAAATAGTTTGTCACAGTGTGACAAAGAATACAAAGCATATGAAATGTCACACACATGGCTATGGCCATGCTTTTGAATAAATCAAATCAGCTCCTCAAATAAAGACTCATCTGGGCAAAATTTTCATCATTCACTATGTTCTGCACCAAAGGAGGTGATTGGTTCCAGTTTCTTTCTCACGTTGCTGTTGACAAAAGAGTTGCTCACAAACAACATCAAATACTGTATGAAGCACTGTTTTAAGCCTGTTAAGTATTAGTGTGGTTTATACAATGAGCTGAACAATATAGATCTCAGGAGAACATGAATCTCTTTCTTTACCTGATTCATTTTCAATTCACTAAAGTCTCATCATTAATGGTCTTTGAAGAAGAGAAGCCTTTTTTAAGGGAGAACAATTAAGATCGGGTTGACATAAATACCATAAGAATTGGACTCAGAATCAGTAGCAGCAGGTCTAATGGAGACATTAATCCTCTGCAGAGTTCAGAACCTGAACCCTTCTGAAGCGATGTAGGATGATGTTTCCAGAAAATGAGACAAAAAAAATGCCTGAAGACCAAAGGGGAGCTTTAGAATATAAAGAAATCAGAGGTGGCTCAAGACTTTTGCACTGGACTGTACATGGCAGGTTTTTATGCTGCCTGCAGTAGTCAGAAAACTATAAAAGCTATAATGACATCAGAAGACAAATTACAAATGCAAAAGAACACTTAAGCCTGACCTAAATGCCCCTGAAAATGTCCTGTGGAGAGTCGAAAGAGTAAAAGTAGTTCTGGCTCTCAGGTAGAGCTGATATGATTAAAACTGAACATTAAATTTAGTTTAATAGTAAGTTTTTTTGATAGATGATTTTAATCATAAACCAATGTGGAAAACTGTGGAATATCTACCAAATCCTATTGCGTATTATGATATGAAAGCTACATGATTTTAGCTACACAAGGTATGTGATCCATGATACAGTCTCAACAAAACCCTGTGTGTGACTAATCTAATTAAACAGGCTAATAAGCAGAATATTACTGGAGCTATCAGCACATTTCCTTTGGCTTGACTTGATTTCTGTTATCAGATGCAAGACAGGAAATGTAAACCAATTAAAAACGTGTTTCAAGACATACATTCTGCCCGTAATTGAAGAATAGGCTGTTACAATTTATATGCCTTAGAGATATGGATAGAGGTGTTCAAAGAGCTAAATGGAAATATGTGTGTTTGCTTGCTTGATTTTAGTAGAAAGCAGAAACTAATATGCAGCTTAACATGAACAACATTAACATCCTTGTTGCGTCAATGCAGCATGACCACTGGGTGAAAGGGGCTCCTGGCTTTGACCAGCTGTGCTGACATGGTGGAACGGACAGAAACCAGACTAGGACTTTAGAATCGCTATCTGTTAAGTTGTCTTGATCTTGAGCTGTAATTGTGCTTTTGGGGATCCCAGGCTTGAAATGGTAAATTTGAAATGGTCAAAAAATGACACAGGTTGTTGGAGCCTCTGGTAGCATTCTTAAGTTTGAGAGTGTTTCCAGCTGTTTTGGGGGGCAGAGACTGATGAAGCATTGTATAGGGTCACTGTTGAGAGGAAAAAGGAGGATAGAGAGCCTTTACCAGCTTAGCTGATTCTAGAATAATTGTACAATTGAATACAGATATTAACAAAAGCTTTAATTTCAAATTTGGAGAATGTTGAAACTGAAAGAGAAAGGAGAACATATTAAGGTAACTAGCAGCATTGCTTTTCAAAGATTGAATGGTTGTTGAATATTTGGAATTTTGGCATTTAAAAAGGTCAGGAGTGTTATTCTGAGCATCTGAGTAAAGGTGAGCTGAACGTGCATCTTATTTCACCCCATTATTTTTCTTCTTCCTCTGATTTAAAAATTCTCCGAGCCGTCGAATTAACCCTAAAAAGCATGTTAGATAACTTAATTAGACTTATTGAGCAGGTAACACAGATGTGAACTGCTCAACATTTATGTCGATTATTTCAACATATTACTGTTAAACTCTTTTACATCCACACTAAGAAAAAAGGAAGGTCAAATATTCCTAAACCTGTCAGATACAAAAGAAAATTATTTATTTTTTGTCATAATCCATTGTTCTGTCACAGCTAATGGGGCTGACACTTTAAATGTGTGACGTTTTATCAAGAGTAATATCATAACACATGCTTGATTTGACTTGCACCAAATGCCTTAACTCAACTTTAGGGCCAATTTAGATATGTGCACTTTGTCTAGTATATCCTATGACTATGTATAATAAGTGAAAGATGAGCCCTACCTAATGGTTAAACAGGATGTTAAACGGATAATAGCTGATTAAACTATAATACACTACATAATATAGTTGATAAGCTAAACGGAAACCTAAAGTCACAAAACTCACAATCCTCAGATAATCTGATTATAACATCTTCTCTGAACTCCACAGAAACTACAACAAAAGGCTAAATTGGGATTCTGTGGGATTTACTTCTCCAGCATCCGTGAGCACACACTGTGACTTTTTAGCAACACTTTAGATTATGAGCTGCATTATGGATAGAATTGTTTTTGACAAACAGTTTTAGTGATGACTTAAATTCTTTAAAATTACCTCTTGACTTTATGCATTTTGTGCAATCCTGAAGATACACAGGAAAGATGTCATACTTCAAATGATTAATGTTTGTAATGCACTTACTAATCTCAATATAATTCAAGGACAAAAAAAGCACAAGTACTCTGAGGTAATATCTAAATATCAGAAGTAGTTCCTATGAAGTTTATGTCTGACAGGCTTTCAGTCTCTGTAAAAACTTGGGGCATGTTCTTCAGGATATGAATATTGTCGAGGGCAGCAGCAATATTATAGAATAGAATTATCATTCTAAATTATGTTGAAAAATACAAGTCAGTGTGAAATTGCCTCTAAGCAGTTCAATGTACATTGACTTATTCTTGTATAATAAAAGATGATGTGCATAAAAAGAGAAAAATGCATTTAATATTTGAAGATGTTGTTATGAGTTAATTATTGTATCTCATACATCCACATTAACCATAGAATGACCTAGTATCAACTAAACATAGTTTTTTAGATTTAAATGTTTGAAATGTGTTGCAGGGTTTTGTCCTGTGTAAAAAACATTTGCTCCTGCATTTTATCACCTGTCCTTTCCTGTTTATTCAGTCTCATGCTCAAACTGCAGCATAACAAGATATTGCTTGAGGGTAAATCAAACTCTCCAAAGGCCCCAGTTAAACATTCATTAGAAAATCAGTGTTCCCCACAAACAAGGAAGAGTGTGTAAAAATCCGCACCTCGGGCAGACACAGGATCAACATCCCCATTCAGAGACTCCAAACACACCTCTGCCCTTTAATATTTACCATTTCAACAAACACAGGACTTAATATCCAGTTTTCCGTGTGTTAAAGTGGGGTGTACAAGAAACACCTCTCTCTTGTGGTGTCACAGAGTACTACATTGATGACATCTTAGAAACTCTTTATCTCAAATTTAAAAAGAAAAGAGTCAACATTTTACATCACGATGGTTAGAAAAGACAAAGATTACACATAAACGTCCCTCGTCGCTGACTCAGAGTTTCCATTTGAATTGGGAGCCATGTTTAGAGCTGACACACTGGGCTCACTTGCAGTGGTGGAGGTTCGTGAAATACAAGCCCCGGCTGGAATGTTTCATAGCAATGTATCAGACAGAGCACCGTTAAGCTGCTCATGTTTGCCTTTGGGCAGTGTTGCACTCCAAAGAATCTGTGCCTGGAGCAGGGCAAAAAGTTCTTAGATTACTGTACAGTACACGTGGAAAGAAAATCTGCATTGTATATTAGATAACTGGGGCATTTCACCGGCACAACACTTATCTCAAGCTTTACAATTCATTCATTACATTTTTTAAAAATTATTTGTAATTATTCTATCTACCTAAAGGTCTATTCTAAGTGTTCAGTTCAGTGAAATTTCTCAGGAAAAGAAACTTTCTTCAGTAGTACACAAAAGGAACTGTGGCTCCAGAACACCTTATTTCAAAAGCAAGAACAACCCTGACATTCCAAATGCATTCACAGTGTATGCGGCCCAGACGAGCCCCAATTCAATCAAATGCAGTCATAGAATATTCATCAAATTCATCCAAAGCATATAGTTATTTTTTAAATTAACTTTTGATGCAAGATTTTAACTGCTAACTATGTTACACCAACATTTTGAATTAATTTTTTATGTCTGAGTTCTCCTGTGTTTGCCAGTCAATTAACCTGAAGATTTCAGTGTGACTTTTTTCTGATCATGTTTGTTATGTGGCACGTTGATCCACTTTCAGAACAGAATTTAAACCTCAAAATGATTTTCTGTTTTAAATGAAAAGGCTTAAGTACAACTGTAGAATGATTAACTAAAATACACCCCTTAACCTATTTCAGTTTCAGGAAGATTTTCTGGCGAAAGTTATTCCAAGGAACTTAAATAGATTAAGTTAAAGCCATGCACAACTGCAGATGTAACAGATGAAGTTTTTGTACCTGTGTTGGACCAGCGATAACGAGGATGGTTACACATCATTCTGAAGTGACCATTCCTGTGTGCATCTGCCGTTTTCCAATGGCAGCTGGGATGGACGGAAAACATTCAACATGTTTTGCACGATTTTCAGAAAAATACTCAAAAATAAAGATAACTTGCAGCACGATCAAAGTCATAAGACACGTGTAACCCCCTCGCTCCCTCCCCCCCTCTCTCCTTGGTCACAAAATAAGAACTATTAGGGGCCATCTGTTTTCCACTCTAGTGTTGATGGGATAATCAGGGGTGTTAATGACAACTCACATTTGGTTGGAAAGAACAAACAGGTACATGTGGTGTTGCCCCCCCCCGCCCCCCTGAAAAAGAAATGCAGAGAGATCAAAAGTACTGAGGGACACAAAGACGGACAGAGTTTAGCATCTTTATTTGGTGCTTTCCTTTCACAGAGACTGAATGGTGGTCTACTTTTTTGCTTTTTATTCTAATCATCTTTGATGCAGGAAAAAAAAACACATTTCAGACTTTGACGTCGGCGTATGACTCGTGAAAAAAAAAAAAAGAAGGCCATGAGAGTGATTACAGCTGTGGAAAATGACAAATGTTTTCGGCTAAACTCCAATACGATCCCCACACCTTGTTAGCTCGAGACTGCAAATATGGTATGAACTGTGTGTGTGTGGTGCATAATAAATACCCTGCCCTTTCGTTTTGATATACAGCTACCGTGTTAGACTCATGCTGATTATTATGCAAATAAATGTGAGATCGCTACATTAGATGGACAATTTCACTCTTGTCACATTGAAAGCTACAACGCAGTTCCTGTTTTCTATGTATTATCTTCTAAACGTTGCAAACCCACTAATTCCTCACTAATGACGGTTTGTGATTCTGTCTAAAGGGAAACACATTATTCAAAGCAAAAGTTGCTGATAGAACAATCAAACATTTAATGGTCACAAAAAAACATGAAGTGTAAAAAGATACAACATTGCTTAAATATCAATTCATAATTGAAAAATGCAGCATTATTTAAATATGTTACGTTGGTTATAACTGAACGTGTAGAATAAATGAGAAATATTTTACATATTTACAAACTCATGTACAGTATAAAAGCTGGCTGCCACAGGTCCTCCGTGTCCTCCACCTCGCACAAAACTAGTTCTTATCATTTTTTGGCAAATGCAGCTGGTATCTGATGAAAGCACAACACCCGCCTGCGGCAAAATATCAACATCAAAGCTAGGTTCCCTTCACAGGACGTGATAGACGGGCCTGGATCCGGGGCTCGCCGGTGTGGAGGGCTGCGACTCAGAGCTGCTGGGGGAGAAGGTGGCCATGTCTCTCAAAGCAGCTGCTCCACAGCTGGACTCCACCGAAGACAGACGGTCCACGATACTGGAAAGGCATTCCAGGCTGGAGGCACCAGCCGCTTTTTCATCCAAACTGTCTGAAAGAGCAAACAAAAACTGGGATCGATCACATTTGCAATCTAAGGATGATTTCAGCTCATCAAATGTCCTGCAGCAGCAAATAAATCTGATGCATAGGGCTCGATAGAAAAGATATACGAGGTGGAAAACTACACGTTTAAGTAACAGAAACATAATGAAGATGTTAATATGTTTTTCTGTTTCAAGGTTTTAACGCTAAATGTGATCGCTAAAGGACTCTTCGAACAAAAATGCATGTCACATTCACATGTAACTGCTGCTGCTGTCAGAAGGTCTTACCATTCTTTGCATATGAATAGCTGTTGCTATAGTTTGCATTCAGCTGTTGCCACACTGGACTGTTGCTCCCGGCCTGGAAGGACAAATGAAATTAATTTTACCCTTGGACTCTTGCAAACGCTGACAAAACAGGGAAATATGATGTGTTATGGTTTTCCCACATATGCCACTTATGAAAAGGCAGGGGAAGAACAAAAAAAAAATAAATAAATTGGTGCCTTTCATGATATTCTGGATAGGCTAATATATCCTGAATTCCAAAGTTATTGGCCTCTATATTTCACATCCACCTTAAAGTCATGGTGGTTGTGCGCACTCCCCTCCCCTTGCCCAGCTCTGAGTGTGGCGAATCGATTGTATCAGTGGAAGCAACACCAGTTTGTGCAAGATGACACTTTCTCCAAGTAAATCTGCAGAAAATCCTGGCAGTGGTGCAGAACATGCAGTCAGGATGGAATGCAGAGAAGTGTCCAGTTTTTTCTGCCAGACTTCAGTAAGGTGGATTTAGTTTGGTTTATTAGGGGCTATAAAGTGTACCATGGTGGGAAAGCCATTAGTACACCCAGCATTACAAGTTCTTTTGGATAATCTGATATCATAGTCACCTCAAGAGAGAAAAACTAAGATTCTAACATGTAACAATAAGCATTAAATTGAGATTAAAGATAGCCTTGTAAAATGCATAATGTTTGTATAATGGGATTACAACAAAAGTAGAGCTTGCTTGGAAAAGCAAATTAATTGAGGTCTGGGGGTAAAGCTTGCTTATTTAACTTAGTTTCCAAATTGGTATTGTCATGTGAAACACGGCACTACAGGTAATACAAACTCACAGAAGTAGGTGCATTGGTTAACCATATAGAAAGGCATGAGTGTTCGCAGTGCCTGTATCCCCATTTCTATGGCATCATTGACTTTGCAGTTACAGTGCCTGTAATCTACCAGATTTTTTCTTTAAGAGCTCTTACCATGCCATCAGAGCAGCTGGATAGCGGGCTCCCTGGTTCAGAGCCGCTCTCTCCAGGTAGGCTGTAAAAGTTCTCCACCTGCTCTCGTAGGAGATCCTGCAGGCTCTCGATGTACTGAATCGCATTGCGCAGGATCTCCACCTTAGGCAGGCGCTGGCTGGGGTTGGCTGAGGTACAGCGTCTCAAAGCCTCAAAAGCGTGGTTGACTTTCTTCAGCCTCCGGCGCTCACGCATGGTGGCAGCCCGTCTGCGGTCCACGAAGCTGGACTTGCGCTTACAGGCCTTACAGGCCCACTGCAGGCAATGTCCAGGCTGGTGGGGAGCTCCAGGAACCCTGATGTGTTCATCCTCTTCTGAGCCAGCAAGCTCCATACCAGGGCCAAACTCCAGGCTGTCTGGAGAAGAAGCACAAGCTCTGTCGTAGTAAAGCTGGGATGGTGAGAAGACGTCCATGGCTCGCGGAAGAAAGGCGTCTGAATAGATGGTCAGGCTGGTGCAGAGTAAGGAAGAAGGGCCAAGTAGATGGGTGAAAATAAGGAGACCTCTGAGTGATATGAGGGGTCTGTTGCCCTAGGCCCCCCTTATATGCCCCAGGCTGAAGCCCAGGGCCCACATTGGCCAGATCTAATTACCATGGCCCATTGGCCCAGCCAGAAGGCAGGCTGGAGTTAGATCTGCTCCCTCCCTGCCCCATCCCTACCATTGCCTCTCACCCCCTTGTACCCTGCAGAGTTTCCCACATCTGCACTTTCGGGTGTTTTCAAACTCATCCCGAGTTGTCTCCGGTATTTATTCTTCGAAGACTTACTGAATACAGACTTTCAGAAGGTTTTAGGAGGGTTGGTGAACATGTGAAGGCTAAACCAAAACATGGCCCATTTTTAAAATTGCCATGAGGGTTTTCTTTTGGTTGAATGGTCACTTAGCACTTATTTCCATGTCATACCTCACAATGAGAGTGACACTTTGCTATGAAGACATAAATGCTGCAGAGAGTGTGATCTGTTTGGTCAAGCTGTGCAGTAAAGGAGGGTGACCACTTGCATGAGTATGTGGGCCAATTTTTACGGTGGAGACAACAGCGTTGCAGATGCAGCCCAGCTGCAAAGGAAGGTGTAACATTTCAAGCCCTGTGAATTCACACAACAGCGGTAAGCCCGCTCCAAACACCCGGGCTCATCATTTAAGGTGCTGCAAGTGAAGGGATCGCTGTTTACCAAAACTCATTAAAACGGCAATTACACAAATGACACCGGTGCGGAATGGCCTGCACAGACCAAATTTTAACCATCAAAATTTACTGACACAACTCAAGCACCTCGGTTCAGCACTCGACAGATGGCCACGACGGAGCAACAGTTTTTATACAAGTGGGTGACTTAGGGTTTAAGGAGGTTTTAAGCTGTGTGGAATGCAAGATTGCTATGGTGAAGTTATAACGGTATTTCAGTTCCCTTTACTTGGCTGAATAAAAAAGTATATCTTAGACTTGACTTTGTACGTGTCTTGATTTAAAATGCTCTAAACTCTAAAAAGCTCTAAACATTGGAAATAAATTTAACAGCATTGAGTGGTTAACTTTTACAAGTTTAGTTTTGTACTGTCAAATAAAATCCCTGGGTATTTTCCTTATAACTCACTATTTAATCATGTCATATCATTATCTGCCTTTGTTTAGTTCATGAAAATAATTAACTCCTTCAATAAACTATATTTAGTTACAATTTCAGTGATAGACATTTGTTCAATTTTCCAATTAAACCCACATATACCCTGCGTGGAATATTAATTCAAAAGATCATTACATCTGCATAATAAACACTCCAGTTGATTATTTAAAAGCAGCTATGTTAAAGCAACCTGTTTTTTAAGGACATTAAAATGCCCAGGAAGTGCTTTTTCTTTTTAAAATCGTGTTTTAAACGTAAGTTGTTTGAATTACTTCTAATATTAGACGGATACCGATGACTAGTGCGCATTTTGTATTCATAGGATGTTCCTCCTCCACAAACTATTATCCGGGTGAAAAGGATTTTTTTTCCCGGTTCGGTCCTGAGGAGCGACAACTTCAGGTAATTGTGTTGGTGACAGCTCACAAGGATACAATGCGGATATTTCTCACAATGTGTCAAAACGTTTGGCGAGCCCCCTTCTCTGGGAACTGCGCGCACCTAAGAAAACACCAGAGCCCGCTGCCTCTGAATGGCCGTCGGAGTTTGGATTAGGCACAGCTGAGGAAGACATCGGCTCGCCTGTTCCCGTAGCTGCAGGGATGATCAAAGGTTGCTCGGACTGAGAACAACGTCGACAATGAGAAAACCTGCCATCCGCGGAGAGCTCATTGAGCTCCGGGTTCAATTGGCGCAGCACATGGCGCAATTGCGAATGCGGGGAGCAGATATTTGCGCGGTAACTGCGCACAGGCCGGTGATGTGATCTGTGTTCACGGCTGGTCTCTTGGGAACTCTCTGAGGTTGCTTTTCTGTTGTTCTCAAGGGTCAAAGACAGAGTTAAGTGAAGGGCAGGAGGTGATCTTTTATGTTCTCATCCCTCACGTCTGAAAACCTTATTTCTTCATAACGGCCTCGTGCTTTGACTTAAAATGCTGCTGGTTTGGGGCAGCATCAAATATTCCACGTTGCACCATATACTATTTCCTCTGGACCGTTCCCAGCCTGCTAGGTTAAGCATATAAAATGTTAAATATCGGTTCAGTTTAACATCTTAAATGCCATTGGTGATAAAGATCTGAGACTGTAATTTTTTTGAATAATAAAAAAAATGGAGATGAATTCATGGACATTTGAAAAGGGGACAAAATGTGAGGAAAAACGTTAATAAAACGCTTTTGGAAAAAGAAAGAAAAATGCATTCCTTTTCATTGCTCTGTCTGGGGTGCTTTTCCATGCATAAAGTCAACTTTACATTCCCCACAAGAATTAGAGAGAGAAAAGAAAAAAAGAAAAACATTTTGAGTGGCAACACCATTTGTTTGGCAGAGAGCAGAAAGACGTGCGCCGCCAGCCCAGCAGTTCGGAGTCCTTCTCAGAGCAGAATATCCAGGGAAAGCTCTGGATAAATCAAAGTATTCAGCGTCCAGGTTTATCCCCCTCCTATAGAGGCTTGCCTTTCATCGGCTTGGACTTTTAAAACACTGCCTTCACAGACAAATGACAATTATATGGTCTCATCAGCCATACAGATATCCTGGCACAGCCATATAGGGCAAAGTCAGGGCTCAGAGAGCAGGCTCTTTCTCTGTAAGGAGTGGCAAGCTGCAGTCCGATGGAGAAAACATCAAAACGAGACAATGAAGTTTCCGCAAGTTTGACAAAAGAGGAATGCGGTTTTGTCTGCCAGCAGAATCTGCAAGGTTGCAAAATGAAGCCACACTGAACCAAACGGTGTGTTTTCTTGGACAAACGTTTCTATTGTTGTAGACATTAAGATGGCAGTTAAAGAGCTGAAAATGATGGAAAACTGCTATCAGAGTGAGTGAGTGGGAGCTCATTAAAATCACATTACTGTTTCGAGCTATCAGATTTCTGTCTGGTTTCTGCTGAAAACAGGATATTTTGAATTAAGATAGCGCTGTTGAAAAACGCTGTATCTGGCCTCAGCTTTATTGGATGCTTTCAGATTTTAATTCAGCCCTGCATGAGAGGAAGTATGCATATCGTTTACTCAAAGAAAGCACACTTTTTCACAAGTTGCGCCGATGCCCATGCAGCATTGTAATGGTCAAAAAGCAGCTGTGTTGTCGTTTATGGGGGTGATCTGATTACGTGCATAGGATGCTAGTCCAAAATGTGGCAGCACTGAGAATTAAAACAGGATCAAAATTAAGCTAAAAACGTTTGAAATGAAGACGAAAAAGAAAAAAAATAAGAGAACCACCAGCCCCATAAACCACTTCAAGCATCCTCTTCTCCAGGCAACACGGGACAGATAGGACTGGAAGGATTCCCATGCCACAAGCACCGTGTGGCACATTTTATGTAAGCGCTTTGCCACGTGACAACAGTGAGAGCGATGATGAATTAAGAGCTAATGGCTTGAATGACTGCATTATCCCGCTGGTTTTTGCACTCATGCCTGCAACCCAAGTTTCCATGTCCCCAACATGTGATAGGGGAGGGAAGTCGAGGCACCCTGTGTTTGGAGGGGAATCAAGTTACTGTTGTGGGATCAGGCCTGCTGCTGAACAAAGAGAAGCAGCCCAGCAGCAAACCCTTCCAAGAGATTACATGAGATTTTCATGGATTTCTAATGGCTGTGGACGTTGAACTGGATCTTTAATTATTAGTGTCCCTTTTGTTGTCCTACTGCACAGTGATATATGTCCAGATTACATTGTGCAGTGGTCAGAGCTGATATGGGTTTTGCTTGTCCAAATCACATTGTGGTTATGCTGAAATGATTAAACTCTTTTTTGTTTTTTAATAAAGAGAGGAAAAATATCACAAAGAAAGTTTTTTCTTTTTTTGCACAAATGCAAAATCAAAATGTTTTCATTTATTTTGCTGGTCATGTGTCAATATGTACAAATATTCAAACAAAATGTCAAATTTCTTAAAGAATTTGTCAGCCTTTGAAAACAAAATAAATACATCCAAACATCATGTTGATAGAAAATATGTACAAATTCGATGCTTTTCATGTACAAACAGAAGCCAGAATGGTTGAAAACAATGGAAAGAATTTTGAGACAGACAATGGAAATTTAAAATATTGAAATTGTCACTGGGGTCTTCCCTAAAATTTCAGTTCTCCGAGACGTCTGCGGAGAAGTTGATTTTCTCATCATTTGTGATGCTGTTCACAATGGAGGACAGACGCAGGAGGCTGGAGGATGCAGAAGATTCACTGGTTCCTTAAAGTAGAAGAAATCTGAGTCACTGGGCAGTATTTATTTTTATTCTATTTGGCTTCAAACCACAAATACAAACATCATAATTCTGAGTTTGATGATGTTACGTTTGTTTACCAGTACGACTAAAATGATGTCATATTTGCTCATTAACAGGAGCTGATATACAACACAAATGTTCAGATCTCATGTACCAACATTTTATCCAAAAAAAAGCATGGACAGGATCGTTAATGCTGAATATTCAACATTTTACTTTTTAATTAAAACTATTTATTTTCTATTTATACTTGTCTCAAAACAGTTTGGAGAGGCATGTCTTTACATTCATCCCTTCCTCTAGGAAATGAAAATTCTGGACCTATAGAAAAAAAAAAGGTTGTCCCATTCTTTCCTTAAATGTGATTTGAGGCTAATATACTGGTTCTCTTTTCGGTCATGTTTTGAATTTTATGACAACCCAAATGTTTCTAATTGATGAAAGGTCTGGAAAACCGTCGCATCAGTCTAGGACTCAAACTCTTCCACAATGACCACAGTCTAGGTGGACTTACCTGACTAAGCATACGTATGTATATACCCTACGACCTGTTTCAGTACAGAAAAAGGCATATCCGTGATATCAAAGATGTAGTCTATTAAATTAAGTGCTGATAATAATACGGATGGTCCTTTTCCTCTTTAAAATGGAGTATCCATGTTTTCCATAACCAATGTTGAAACATTCAACTTATTCTGCAGACCACAGACCACTTTGACTTAACTATTTACCTTCTGCCCAACATCTAATATTTTTAACTCCTTGTGGTGTTTTTCTCAGTATTGTTTGTCAATCCTTTTTTCCACTGCACATTTGTTTCACTTGCAATATGATTAACAAGTCCGAATGTCCCGAAACTAAACCATTAAAGATAAATCACCATCATACATTTAGCCTAGAGCCAAAACCATACTGTTGAAGTATGGTATGGTAAAGTTCAATCCCTCCTCAAGTTTAACCAACATTAAATTGTAAAGACAAATACAGCTAGCTCCAAGGGTAAATCATAAAAAATAACAACCCACGACTGTGAAACCTAATTCTACTTCAAAATGAATAAATCTGTCTGGAAACACCATGTAAACGATCACTGATTAAGCTCAGATAAGACATCTAGTCCATCTCATTGTCCAGACATACTGTGGTCTTCAGACAATTGAGCACGTTTGAATATGAGCTGCACCCACAAACTCTGAAAAGATTTTTTTAAAATAATTTGATTGAATAAGTAAATTATTTTTATGAACAATGGTCGTAAAACATCTGGTTAAAAAAAAGAAAATACTGCAACCTACCAGGAAAAGTCATTGATGACTGTAATCATCCTTCTCGTTTGCTCTAAAACCACTAAACAATTAAAAACCAGTTCATTTGATTTAATTCAAAGTGTTTCACCGGTCCACTGTGACCTGTTTGGTAATTTCATTTATCTGATGTGACGAAGCTGAATCTCCTAAGTCCGTAAGCATCCAAAGATTAGCACACTATTGTGTAAGTTGCAGTGTTCAAAATGTGTGAAATAAGTAGCACCTTATAGTTGGAAATCATGGTACAATGACTGCTGACCTTTACCAATCCCTAAACAGACTGGAGCTCACACATTCCCAGATGTGGCTAAATTTGATTCATTCATCATTTATTAAAAGTGATGGCCGACAGGTGTACCTTCCCTCTGGTTCATCGCTGTAGAGGAATGATCAGCAGAGGCTTGCCAGGACTCGGAGGATTTCTTCCAGTGGTACTCATCACTGGCCACCTGCAGAAATCAGAGACTCATTATCAATTCGCACTTTTCCATGTGAATCACAGAGCCCAAAAATGAACACTTTAACGTTGTTGAAAAATTCAGGCATACAAAGAGCTGGAAGGAAAGGATGGTGGCAGTTATTAATAGAAAAGAAAATGATGTTTGCGCCAGCTGTAACAAAAATATCCTCATGACAACGGAGACAGATATCTGGTAAATGCATCACGGTGTTGTCAGTGACTCCACACGCACACATTTAAAATCCAAAAAGGGATTGTAATGTCATTCAAAAGTCATTGGACAGCAACAGGCACACTGTGTATGTGGACGTGTTTGGGATATCGGTTGAATACTAAAAGGAGTTCCCACTGAGGGGTAAGCTTACACTGTGTTCTTTGGAGGGAAAATGGGTCCCGTTTTGCATTTTCTCTTGCTCGTCCAGGGTCTGAAGCAGGTCCTGTAGCCTCTCGATGTAGCTGATAGCGCTACGCAAAATCTCCACTTTGGGCAGTCTCTGGTTGGGATTGGGCACCGTCTTCCTCTTCAGCGCGTCGAACGCCTCGTTGATCTTCTTGAGCCTCCTTCTCTCCCTCAGCGTGGCAGCCTTGCGTCTATCCGTTGGCGCGGATTTCCTCTTGCAGATTTTACAGGCCCACATGAGGCACTGACCCTCACAGTGAGCCTGAAGGCCTGGAGGAGCAAGCACATGCTCCTCACCACTGCTTTCGCCCCCGGTCTCCGATGGAACATTATCCTGGCTGGGGGACAAAGGGCTGTCATTGCCGTTATACAGGGGAGACACCCCCGCCATGTCCAAGTGCTGTAGTGGTCCATGATCCCCTTCTTCCAAATAGCGCAAATCACTGAAAAGGTAAGTGTTGGTCTCAAAAAGGTCCATCATATTGTTGCGCCCCTCTCTCTGTTTTGACAGTGGAACTCTGGCATTTAAATAGAGCAGCAGGGACACAGTCAACAGGCTTATATATAGAATGTGAAACTCTATCCAACACTGGCTGTCACACTGCAACAAGCGTCTTTTTTTTTTTTTTTCAATGGGACTTCACAACATACTGACTTTGTGTGGGGAATAAATACACATTAAGCCTCCAGAAGATATTAAAACGCCATTTGATATTTCATGACAACTGTTGTAACTAAAGGCATCTGGACAAAGAGACTTTACTTTGATTATTCCCCCCAAAACACTGCAGACATTTCACATGTCACCATGGAGTTGCCGAATTGGTATCAAAGGAGATCATTTTAGGTATAAATTAACAGATTTAGTTGTTTGTGTGTGTGATAATAATATGGCCAATTCTACATGAGCTCTATAATATACAATATCATTTCTTGCATAAAGACTTTTACTCCAAGCTTACAAATCATTGTTGTGAACTGGTTTGATGATCGCATGAAATAAAAGTCTCACACCAAAAAACGTTCACATCGTAAAAGTCTGTTTTTATCATTTTTGCATCAGGGACGGAGAGGTATGATACACCCTGGACTGTTAGGCAACTGATTAAAGCTCTTTTCTAAAAATCTTAAAAAAGTGGAAGTAAAACACTGATGCCAGAGCACATAACCTTTTTTCCCCCACACAAAGTATTTCCAGAGTGTATTTCAGTCTCTGATGGTTGCATGCGGGGATTAACTCTAAAGTCTCTTTTGGTGAGAGCAGAACTAATATGATCCAATTCCACATAGGTGAGTTTTTACCTTGATATGGATATTTACCTTGATCTATGAGCTTTTTCAGACTCCAGGTTGGGTGTCACTTTCAATTTTTGGATCTCTTTGTTTTGGAGTTAGAGTCTGCCGCTCATTTTGCTGCTGCTATTATTCTGAATATAAATGGTCGGTGTTTGAAAGCAGAGTCTGGGGTTTAATGTATTGTCCCCCCAACCAAAAATATATATAGTTGTGATGAATGTTTGGGCATGAATTCTGCAGCCAAATGAAACGTCAATGTCACATTGTAGATGGCTTTATAAATGGCTTTTTGTTTATGTGCCTTCTTCAAAAGCTCCGTCAGCTGATTCTTTAACAGGTTTTTTTTTATTGGTTTCAAACTATTACCAAGCTAAAAAACTGGAGTCAACGGACCATTTACTAATTTACTTCACTGTCAAGAAAACGAACAAGCAAACAAAACATCCAATTCCCTCAACTCTATTTCATTAATTTTTAAAAAAAATAGATAATTCAGGACTCTGAACTCCAAACCAGTTGACTGGCACATGAACTGTCTACCATTGATGATGAGCGAAATCTCTTAAGAGAAGAGAAAAAACATTTGCTGGCAAACGATAACAGTTCTCTATTGCATTACTTATGACAGCATGAATTACCATACGGCATTAATCATCTATTAAACATCTAACTTGATCCGAAACTTCACTCATCTATCAATTCAAACAATCCTATTGAGTTTATATTAACTAGTCTTATTCGGGGTAATTGGTGTACTTTGACGCTGAAATGCCAGGTGAAAGCAGAGAGAATAAGAGGAGGGAGAGTAAGTCAGTGGAGACCCAACCACGAGACAGAATGGTGTACTGGAATAATTTTTCTTTTTTGTTTGTTTGTTTACCCCATTCTTATTTTTTCATTCAATGTGGTTCATACTTTATGTTGTATTGACTTTGAAGCCGCGTAATGGAACGGATTTGAAAATAAGGATGTAAAATTCAATGTACTTTTGCATTTATTTTCATTACTTGTTGAAAGATCTTCTCACACAGAACCATTTCATTCATTTAAAGTTAGGAGTAGCATATGAATTAGGGCTGTTCACACAGATTTAACTTTTCTATTTATTTTTTCGTTATCATCACCAGGAAGATGAAATTGTTTTGAGTTAAGTGTTTAGCAATGACCAGCACACTGGACGTCCTTGGAGTTGAGTTTCCGCATATTAAAAAAAATCTAAATGATAGTGTTGTAACATTTTAACAAAACTGTAGCTTGAATTAAAAAGACTCACTATCTTCCCTCACAGCATAAAAGATTTTGCATAGAGTTTCAGCCTTTTTGTGCCAAGACACTAATGACTCACAATCGACATCAGTATCCCTGCAATTCTTGATCAATTGCACATCCTAGACTATGGAACATTTCAAACTGAAAAAGACATCCTTTTCAATAATGAGGTCAAACAGATTCCGTTTGTGGTATGATATGAAATAATACCAGTGGTTTAAGTTAATATCATTAACACACGTGTGCCTGTTTTAGCCAATGAGGCTTGTTATGGCTAACTCCAACCTCCCAACAAAAATAGACTGGAATCTGCAGAGTCAAAACAGCTTTGAGAAATGCACGCACAAGATGGTATAAATAGAAATGTATCTCATTCATTCTAGATTCGAAAAAGAGATAAAAGCCTGTGAGGAGGTGATATATTGCCAGTGGCATTTTTGCCACAACCTATAAGGGGTACGATTGGAAACTTCACAGGCGGGAATGTGAGGGATACCTATTTCTGTGTGCCTGCGTGACCTTGTGTAATGAAATAAAACATGATTGAGTAGCAGCTTTTGACAGAGAGTAGCTGCTTTGGAGATTTCTATATCCCACACCGATAGTTTCTTCCCTGAGAGACATATAAAGAGTAAGTTTTTGAATGCATTACATTTAGACAGATCTTGGTTCAGAGGGACAAAAAGAGCTTGGGTCAGGCAGAGTTCACCACAGCGTGCTGTTGCACAGGTTCCGGTGACGTTGTGCTTTGTGGGACACTTTCATCCTTGGAGACTGTCTCATTTACTGCCATAGATATATATATATACATATATATATATATCAACACAATGAACATGATTTCCTTTGTTTTGTTTCTTTATCTTTGATTTTGAATTATTCCCGGCCATATTCATATATTCATGCAAGAGAAACAAAGCTTCTACTGTATGTAGTATTATGAGCTTGTCATCAAGTACAAGTGATATATCCAATATAGAGAAGAACATGAATGCCATTCATTAAGTTTCCTGGAGTGGGAAGTGCATTTGCATGTGTTTGTCAAATAAGATGGGTTTTTTTGCCCCTCAACTTAATGAGGGTGAGTAATGATAAATTGGCTGATGAACAGAAGATAGATTAAAAATAAGGACTGTGTGATCATCGCGCTGAAATGAACCGTGCACATTTTCCAGATGAATAGAGTTGTGTCCCTGCCGTGCCCCTGTAGTGTATTGTTTCCCCAGAGCTACTGTGCATCCTGAACCTGATCATAAATTTCTCTCAGTGTCAAGGGGTTGGCGCTTCAGCTGTCAAGGAGAATCATTGCAACGCCTGGACAGAAACTCAAACTGGAGGATCCGGCCTCGCTGGGAAGGAGTAGTCAGCATGGACTACGGGAAGTGTAAATCTGTCCCTTGAAAGAGGCGCGGAGTTGTCAGCTCAGTAGTCTGACTACTTTCATTCAAAATCAAAGTACAAAGTGATCTGAACCTTTTTTGATATCTCTATTTGAAAAATGCTGTCTTGATCAATAAATGATGTTGTCTTTCAGTAAATGAAACACGTTTCAAATTGCTATATTTTGGGAATTATACTCCTCTTCTAAACCACCATCTTCCAATCTGTCTGCTGAATATAACCCCACTGGTGGAAGACTGTTGGCTTTGTGTAGCTAACAAATGCTGGAGTTGTCAAAGCGTAAAAAAATATGGCAAGCAAAATGACAGAAGTTAACAAGTTAACATGCAAATGGAAATATAATAAATACATATACAAATGTAGAAATTGTCTCATCTTGACATTGCAGTAACTTTAATCAGACTATCTCAAACACTGGTGGTTTACTTTTTGTTTGTATGTTCCTAAATTTTGGTTATCCATTACAGTAATTTCTAGAGTTTAGTTTTCCCTTTTTTCAGCCTTTTGCAATTCCCACATTGTCTCGCAGCTCCTACTTTGCCACATTCATTTCACCTGCTCCTTTTTTCTCCATCAAACACCTGCTGCCACTTTTCTGATTACCCTCAGTCAGTATTTAAACATCTAGCTTGTCAGAATTGTTTGCAATATCCTTTAGTGATGTGTTGTTTCCTAGTTTGTTTGTTTTTTGCAAAGACATTACAAAAGCTCTTCATTGAAATGAAAATAAGCTTACACAATGTAAATTCTGACTATATTGAACATTAAGGGCATTATCCAAAGTCAATATCCCATAGAAGACTGAGATATTTAACCTGTTTTGGTGAGGTTTTTTATGTTTCTAAATGGGGATGTGGGGGGATTAATTAAAAGAACAGATGATTCTGTGTCTTTCTTTTTCAAGTCACACGCTTTATTTTCACAGTATCTTAGGAATTGAATGCACTATGTGATTAATTTGACATGTGAAATCACAGAGTTGATTATGAGGCTCAGAACCCATGCAGTACCCCTCTACAAAACATCATAGTTAGATATTTTGCAGGCATAGTTTGCAGGGTGGTAAATTATTTTTCATTACATCGATCAAACTAGGGTGATGATAACTCCTCAGTCCAATGGCATTAATTCATTCTTTCTTTATCTAAACATCCACTTCAAAGTCTTTCGATCGTCTCAAATTTTTACACAGCCTCAAAAACCTAATCCTCTGTGCCTATCATGTTCTCTTACACTTCGGGGCTTGTAAGCACATGTCAGGACCATGTGATTTTTTTCTCCTTAAAGGGGGCGAAGGAAGTTGGATCCAGTTAGGACTAGCGCTGACATGGGGGTCACAAACAAAGCAGATAATTAACGGGAACTGTAGGACCACCTCTCACTGAGCTCTTTACTCCCTCAGACACCTCCTACCCCCATCTCCTCCCGCCCTAACTACACCTCCAGCCTCAGACAGCCTGCACACTCAGTGCGCTGTTCGCGAGGAAATACTGAGCACCGTGACGGACACACAGCATATAACCCAGCTCCACACCTGGGATATGAATTAGCCAATCAGGGGTTAAGTACTCTGGTCATGGGCCTGATGACAATGCTTCACCTAAGACCACAACCTTTTAACCTGAAGGGTCACCAATCCTCTGGCTCAGGCTGTGAAGAGAGGTTTGTGAAGAGAAGATCATATCTCAATAACATGATTCCTCTTAAGAAGAATGTCGGAATAAAAGGCATCTGAGACACTAATCAAAGAATCATGCAAAGAGAAAACAGTTTTAAGTAGTCACTTTTACTAAGTCCCAGGGTAATGAATTGTGCTGGATTTTAAAAGAATTTCTAGATATCAGTTGGTTTTTCTTAACCTTATACTTAAATCTGAACCTATCAACATCTATTTCACAATTAAAGTATATGTGTTGAGCCTTTTAAGCCTTTCTAGTAGATTGTGGGTATCTGATAATATCAAACAGATGTTTCTTTTTATGCCTGAGCATTTGGCTTGCTACACTTCCGATGGCTTCTTTGTAGCTTGAAAGAAAGCTAAAACCCATCTGGTGAAGTGGGGTTGCAGGTGTTGTTCCCAGGATCACTTTCTAATTTGTTCCAAATTGCTACTCATACATTGTGCATTTTTATTTATTTTTTTATTTTATTTTTTTAAAGTCTGTTATAAACACCATCACTAATCAAGTATAATCAGGTCACTTTAATTATGGATGGATGGATGGATGGATAAGCCAACAATAATGTTTAAAATAACGTTTTGGGTAAAAAAAAGAAATTGCACTTAAAAATATCTGGGAGCATCAAGGACTGGAAAAGGAAAAATAATATTTTAAAGATGATTAAGAGATGCTCTGCCGTCTTTATTGTTTTGTTTTGTGAAAAACTATTTGAAAGGCAGTACAACACGCTTCATAAATCTGAAGAAATTATGGCTCTATCAAATTATATGTACATTTACTTTCCATCTATTTGAGGGAAGTTGAGACCTGAACCCTTGTGTAATGTCACAGAGACTGGAAAGGTCATATAGAAATGTTCGCAGCTCTTTGAATTCTTTTTCTTCTTACACAGATGCTTGTTATCTGTAAATGCAAGTGAAAACCATTTGGTGCAAATAAGGGGCTCAGGATCTGGCTAGTTTTTGAACATGTAATGAGGCTTCACTCCTCTCTATAGCTACTCTGTCTATTAAAAAATCTACCGAAAGACATCTGAAGAGATTTAAAAGATATCAGTATTCAAAGAAAGAACATGAATAGCTAGAAACAATATATGACAATTTCTTGTAACTTATATTAGTATTTTCAAACTTGTGAGGTACTGAGAATGTCTGTCACAATGTGATAACTTTACTCATTCTATCTTAATTGCAATACTCTTCTAATAATAAATGTATGATGAAGAAAAGTCATTTGCTTGTTTTTTAGAATCATAGCTATCCAGTGTACTGGTCAAGACTGTGCTATCCAACGACTGAACTTATTAGCTCATCATGACCAAATGTGGCAAATGTGGCTTTCAACCCTGGTGTAATGTGTACAGTTGAATCATTTTCAGCACTTTGTGGTTTATTGATAGATTGAAAAGAAAAGGTTTACTTGGAGTGGTCTAAGTGTTTTAAAAATGTCATTGTCTTCACTTTAATTATGTAGTTAGAAAATATTGGATTTACTGTCCTTTTAATTTGTCACTGCTCCTTTAAACTGTAGCATATTAAAAAAAAGAAATTTAAGCAGTGGCTTTGAGGACACACACTTGATCTCATGTATGTCAATACATAACAGCTGCCTTTTAATGAACAAAGAAGAATTCCTGGTGCACAATGTTAACAACAGTTCAACACTATCCGTTCTGTATGTGTGCGATCTATTGCAGCAGATTATCCCGCTTTCTTTTTTTTTCAGTTTTTCAGTCAGAATCTTCATTGTACATGTACATCAATTTTGTCAGAGGAAAGACATATCAGAGTGAAACTACATCTCTGTCATCACATGACACGAATCAACAGGATGTTTTGTAACCAAGGAGACATCCAGGTGTGGTTCTTGTCTGTAACAGCTGTGATGTGTCTACAGTGGCCCCTTCAGCAATCCCATTGCTATTTTACCATATGGTTCATCTCAGAAAATATTCTATTTTAATAAACCATTTGGAAGAATTTAGCTACAGATAGTAGAACACTATAATACTATATTTATATGTTTTAAAATAATCAAGTTAAATTTTGATTTATTTGTGCTTGCGATTCCTCATCCGGACCTGGTACAAAGAAACACCCTAGAATAATATATCATGACACGAGATAGGTACCTCATCAAACCAGAAAACGATCATTTATCCAAAGCACTCAGCTCTGACATATGTCTGCAAAAGCTATCATTAAAGGAGCTCCAATAATGCCCAGGAATAATTAACATGGCAAAAGCAGAGTGAGTGGAGACTGAGGTAAATCTCTGTTTCTCTTGTTAAACCACATAATTGGAAGGTAGTGAAACCCTACCGCAAAGAATGAACACCATTTTACTTGCAAATAGGACAAATTGGCTTGTGATTCCTCAAAGTGAAAGTAAAAAGTCTTGATTTAGACCAAAGGTGGGGTCTGGTCATATAAAACCTATAAAACTCAGATATTTATTCCTTACATTTTCTCCTTTATGTTATCACATACATTAATGTTTTGTCTCTTATAGGATCACCTTGGACGCATACTTTCTTTAAACAAGAGACTACAACTATGTTTACTGTTGTTGTGGAAAGTTATAGGCCTGGGCATTGCATTGAAAAAATATTAATTCATGTACAAACTATTGCATGCAGTTTCCCATTAGTCTCTTTAAGGAAGAGAAATATCTAATTCTGTACATGTTTTTTATTTAAATGCATAATAACTTTGTCATTCTATTCCATATTGTCTAACTTCTAAACATAAAATCTTCTTTTACAAATGACAACTTAAATTGCAAGGCAAATTTGAAACTAATAATTATCAGTTAACTTCAGAGGAAAAGCATATGTCTCCAGTGTTACTTTTACACTTCTTTGGTTTAGGCTGAACTCTAAACTTGCCATTAACAGCTGAAAACCACTTTGCGGAACATGAGAATGAGTCATCAGTGGTTTACCAGCACGTAAATATGACAAAAGCCGCAGATCATCTTGAGCAAAACACTAGGCTAAATACAAAAATATGTGTGAAGGGTATTCCTTGGAGCCTCTCGGCCTGGGAGAGATCCAGACATGACTAAAGTCTTGAACAAACAATGATTCCTCTCCTTGAGCCAACAAGAACTCTGAGACAGTCATCAGCAGACAGCATAACAGGTCAGTCTGCCTCCATGATACCATCTTCCCTAATCTTTTTGGCCTGGCTCCTTCTAACTCACAGCCCTGACTCAACAGTGGTCAAACAGAGCAGAGAGAAACTGTCTTGAGCTAAGCTAACAGACGGGTCCTCTCATTCGTGCCGTGAGCTGTGGTTTAGATGGGGAGCTTGGGTTTCAAAGGCTGAAGGGGAGGGAACGTTGATGGCATCTACCCTCTTGCTGGTGAACGATGCAGGGATTCTGTTCAAAGGCACAGCGGCTGAAGTTCATCAATTAGCGATGGAAAGAGCTCACTAACTTGCACAATTGCCGACCAACTCGATATGACCTAAGAGCATTACATTATGAGGTATGATGAGAGCGTTGCTCACTGGTAAGGGAACGCCAATGGCTCCCTTGCAAATGGACTGGTATTGATGGACTGGCTCAAAGGCTTGTTCCTGCAAATGGATGCAAAGAATAATAACGGTGTGCTTAGTATTCCTAAAACACCTATCAGGGCCAGCAGATTTTACCAGCTGTTCCAGTTCTACTGTTGTTTCCACAGGCCTCCATTGTAATAAACACTGAGAGTGACCCTTTGCAGCTTATCACCTGACATCCAATGGTGATTTAGTTTGGAGTGATCTGAAGGCCCCTCATGATTGATTCTGTCCTCATTCAGGAGAGTGATGGATTAGCCTTTTGCCATTCGGCCAGTGTGTGTTTAGTGTTGTTTCCCCATGCTAGCCAGACAAAACCACTGATAGGAACTTAAAGGGGCACTGGCCTTGACCCAGCAGCAGACAACACATCGCCCGTCTGGCCACTGAGGTGAGATTTCGACCCTGGTGCCCTCTGTCTGTCTGACCCACGCTCCAGCTCTTTATATGTACAAAATAAGAGCTTTAGTAAGCACTGTTCGAGGGCAGCTTCCAAAAGTGACTTTTGCAAAGAATAAGGGGAGCTAAATCCAAGTCAAAGGAAGATAACAATTTTAAAGGCAGCCTGTCTGTGATGTAGCAGCCTGTAAATGATACGATGGAGAGTCACTATCAGGAGCATCATGCTGCCTCTGGGAGTTAGGGATGTAGCCAGCGATAACACGAAATGAATCCCATCACCAGCAAGTGTGACTGTAGTCATGACAACCTCTGTGACAATGATCTACCAATATTATTTTTTTTCTGAAGTGTCTGAGCCCAGAACAAAGAGTTTTTTTTTACATTGAAAATCTGACTCTTGAAAAACATCAGCAGCAGGCTTTTTTTGTGTGTGTGTGTGGGGGGGGGGGGGGGGGGGGGGGAGTGGGATAAAGTTCCTGGCTCCAAGAGAATCTAATAGGATATTGATGAATGTCAGTGTTGAGTGGCCAGAAGGGCGCTGCTGTGCTGTATAATTGGTTATATGGGGGTATATCATTAAAACAACACATGAGGCCAGAGACAGCTTTGGCTGAGTGAAGTTGATATGAATAGCCATAAAGTCTCATTGGGTAAAAAATATTGTGAGGGACGTTTTAGGGGGCTGTTACATCAAATGTGACCATTTACCATATAACCATTTCCATCAATCCATTTCGTGCACATACTTACTTTGATTCGTGTTCAGAGAGGGTTAGGAACTTATTCCATCTGTCATTGTTGGAAATAAAGGCTACACCGTGGACAGGTCTTCAATCCATTACATGTCCACATTGACAAGAAAAAAAGGAAATGCAACCAAACATGCTTTCCTTTGATATAATATGCAATAAACATTTCAAAATATTTTTTATATAATTCTGGTTAATCTTGCAAAGCAATTTCTCTGAAAGATGATTAAACTTCTTGCCCACTGATCTGAACTCCCACCTACGGTGTATTTTTAAACTGTTGCACCTATCCATCCATGAAATGTCTCTACCCTCTTATTCCAAGTAGTATCACAGGTGGGCTGGCTCCTGTACCAGCTGTCATTGGTTGAGAGTTGGGATACACCCTGGACAGGTTGCCTATCAGCTTTTGTCTTTCAAATTTATTTTGATGGATTTTTTTTCAATCAAAGGAGTTCAATATTGGTGGAAAAAGGGAAAAAGGAGGGCTATCATCTGAAGCCATATAAACCATGTCTATAATAGACACAACACAGTAGCTTCTGTCCCAACTTCTAAATAAAAATGTTACTGGAGTCCATTCAAAATGAGAATGTACTTTTACGGAATGATAGTATTTCTTAGTTTCATTCATTGATTTGTTGCTTTTAAACTTAGAAACCTAATTTGATAGTGAGTTTTCATGAGTTCTGTATTCTGTCTTCATGTATTTTTGTTTTGTTAAAGTACTGTCAAGTTTTAAAAACCCTTTAAAATTTTTATACCAAAACCACACAATGACTTTTACCTGGAAACATCAAATCAGTTCTCACAGTAAGGGTCCCAAATATCGTGTACTGTAAATGTAAAACAACCCAAACTCTTACAAGCCCTTTTGACGTCATTATTTATGATTTTCTGACTTTGTTGGAGGCAATAAATGAAATGGGACTTACAATTGATCCCTAAAATGTTGACAAATGGGGTTTGTCCGTGTGTGTGTGTGGGCCCAACATGTAAAAGAATCCTGGGATTCTCACTTTTGACACTTGTGTGAATTATTCTCAACAGGTTTGCTCTCCATGCTGAAATACCTTTAGACTAGCGTTACTGTCAAAACACACGAGACGGTAATTGAACAATGATGGCTGTGTGTTGGCTGTCGATAACATTAAGAATGAGTGTTTGTATGTGCGTACTCACATGTGCATCGGTGTAAAGCTGCAAAACTGTCAGTATTTCTTTCAGGAGGAGGACCAGTGATGTTGTTTGTCAGTCTACAAAATGTGACAAAAGATGCACATGCACGCATACGCGTGCAGTCGTAAGTCGTAGAGCATGCCCATTGTTGCCATGCATTTCTCTGGGCTGAAGAATATCACCACCTGTTTGATACTATAAAACATCTTGTATTACTGTTGTGGAAGTTATTGGATATTGAATTTCATTGTGTGTGTAACAGCAGTGCAGGTGCATGCAGGGAAATGGTCAAATGGGTGTAGTATTATTGATGAAGGGGCATCAGTCTAAGCTGCACAGGTATTCAATTTCATTGTCATATAATAGGAGATAACCAGGATGGCATTTACTGAGATGTTGTTGCAGAAAATAAAGGCATCATAATCCACTGCAGAAATTCATTCTCCATCCAAAACAAAGGTCAGGCCAGGCCTGCCATCTCAGCTCACAGATAGTACATCAATTGCTGTGAGAAATAGGGATGTTTTCCAGAGAAAGTCCCTGGCTTAGGTTTTAGGGAATGGTTACCCTTAATGACTTAATCCAAGTTCAGTCTCAGTGGCCTCAGCTCTTTGTATGTGCATGTGAGTCTGTGTAATCCTCGCTGTGAGATGGGAGCCCAGAGCTGACCTCACTGTTTGGTTTCACAGGGTCTCCAGGGGCCCGGGGAGGTTCTGGGGCTACTTCTTTCTGCAGAGCGGTCTGAAACACTGACACACAGGCCGGGGTCCACGGGGACCACCAGCCCCCGGCTCCTGTTACCGCTGGGTTAGTCACGCTCTGTGAGATTTATGTGGGGAACAGTAGTGAGGGTTAGGGTTGCACGATACCACCAAAGTGTCGCGATACTAATCCCCAGTAGAATTGAACTTGTAATTCCGAAGATGCCTGGGTTTCATAGTTTGGGCCAATCTTAAAGTTTTTAATGATAAATATCAGCTTTCATTGACTTGAGTGGTTGATTTCATGCATCAAAAACAGCGCCCATCATCAGATGGTGAAGCTATACAAGAAATAATTACAACAATTCACATTAAATAATAAAATGCTTCAGCTGTGCTTCGGCTGGCCTGCTGGTGATGATGAAAAAAAGTCGTCCACTCAGGTACCTGGTATTCCAATCTTGTTGTGAAACAAAGATTAAGATTCTACTATTTTAAGATATCCCAAGTGAAGTTGTTAATGTTATTCCTTCATCAATGATTGGGTTTGAGGATTGTTTGAATCTATTACCCCATTAATTAAATACCTTGGTAGCTTAGACCTCCTCATTAGTAGGACCATTTGACCATTTCCCAGCATGCACCTGCACTACTGTTACACACGCAACAAATCAAGAGTTAGATTTTGTTGCTGATTTGGATCGTTTTCTATAACTTGGCCTTTTAAGTGAACAACGTTTCTTTTTGGGAACATGTAAGAAAGCATTGTATGAATTTGATCAACAAGTAGATAATTGCGCTACCTATTCGTACCACTTTTTATACCAGCAAGAGGTTTCTGGGTTCAAGTCCCCAGGGTAACCAGGACTTTTCTGTGTGGAGTTTGCAAGTTCTCCCTGTGTCTGCATGGGTTCTCTCTGGGTTCTCCAGCTTCCTCCCACCGTCCAAAAACCTGCATGTTAGGTCGACTGGACATTCCAAATTGCCCTTAGGAGGTGCGTGGTTGTTTGAGTCTTTGTGTATCTACATGTGTGGCCCTGCGATGGACTGGTGGACCGTCCAGGGTGTACCCTGCCTCTCGCCCATTGAATGCTGGGGTAGGCTCTAGTCCCCCCCTGAACCCATTTGGGAATAAGCGTTTCGGAAAATGAAGGGATGGAGGTGGCCTCAAAGCTAATTCATAGTTGAAATGTTGGAGTTTGATTCAGTGTATCTCACTCTCTTATGAATGAATAATAAGATGTACATAATGAAAAAAGACTAAATGGAAATGGCGCCCTCATAAATTTATTTAAATGTACTCTGTTACATTACATTACCACTGATTTTGTATGCAGGTCCATGAAATCTGTTGTCACAGTTTAGAACAGTATCACCGAGTTTCCAAATTGTCCACATTCACAGAAGGGCTTCTGAACATTAGCTGAAAAAGCTTGAGTACAGAAATTCAACAAGCTCTTATATTACTTTGTTTTATAGCTGGCTCTCTGCATGATCCATAGTTCTATGTTACATCACATTGAATCTTCAAAAGTTTGCAAAACATTTTCCAGTTTGGACCGCACAGTTCACTAAATATCATGAGATCATCTTATGTTGAGCACAGAAAAATAACCACGTGGCTGGCAGTTTAGGTTGTCTGCATGTGAAGTCAATGGCTTGTTGCCCAGCTTCCCAACATGTTTAAACGTCTTTCATGAAGAAACTGAAGCCTGAATTGCCCTTTATGTGTGCATTGGTACTTTCCTTATTCCAAATGCATAGCTAAAATAAAATGCCTTGGATGAAGTACATAACCACAAATTATTTTGCGGCTTTCCGTCGGATTTCGATTGTCTTGCCACCACAGTCATTCAGACAACAGGGACTTTTTTTCGTGGGGGATAACAACAACCCAACAAAAATCTCTGACAAAATAACTTTATGTGGAGACCACACAGCAAGCCAACTGTATGTGTGGTGGTCTTTTTTTAAAGCAAGCACTTGTTCAAGCTGACATTTGGACAAGCTGCTTGTTAATGTGTTGTTTCACACTGTTTAGCCTTGATAGGGTGGGCTTGTGGTGTGGCCGGAGTCAAGCGGGACCACCTCTCCAGTGACTGACCCTGAGTGCTCAGGGCAGGGGGACAGGTGGGACAGGACCCCCCATACTTAATCATTGAGCTTCAGTAGGAATCTCTCAATCTTGTCTCTGAGAAGAGTGAGGGCTTATTAGAAGTATTTGTGCATGATTTTATTGAGAATGTGCACTTTCTTTTAAGGCGTCATTTGATTTTTCTTTATATTGAACATAACATTTGTATTGGTTATGCTGGAATTGATTATATGAGCTCACCAAAACCCAATTTCCAAATGTATTTCTCAACTAAAAGTGTTGGCTAAACAGAACCTTTGTTTTTACACCTCATTCTTTGTGTAGGTGGTTTAGCATCCCTGTGCTACATTGTGGAGACATAAGGGCTGCACACACACCCTCCTGCTTGGATGCAGACCACAAACAGGCAGCACAAACATTGCAGTGAGTCTGCCTTGTGTTTTATCTCCATGCCACCCACAGTTTACGCCAGCGGGGAGCTGAAACCTTGCGCTGCCCTGAGTTCATCTCCGAGCCCCCCAGCTAATCACCATACCCGAGCCGATCACAGAGCATGGCTCCAGACTATTAAGCCTAAACCACCCTCTGGCTCCCAGTCAAATTATCAAAACACAAACTGTAACTTTAAACTTCTATCAGACATTATTTCGGTTTCCCACTCAGATTCCCACAAACTCAGTTCCCCTGCCAACTGAAAATCAAGCCATTTTAGCCTGTATATCCGCCCATTTGGAGGATTTCAGCCATTGTTTTAGCAGAACGGTGATGATGTTTGAAACCCTTGAGCTCATTTGGACATTCTTTGGAAATGAGGAGCTCCTCTGTGGGACATGTCTGAGTTTTGACTCATCTTTTCACGCTTTTCAAATGGAAAAAGATGATCAGGATGATGAACAACAGGGGAAAGATGAATAATCTTGGGCTAGTGATTCCCCTTTTTTCCCTCTCAACAGTCCAGGGCCGACCTGCTTTTCACACTCGGATTTCCATAAGTGAGAGGTTATGAATACTGTGTTTATTTCTGCAGTCAAAACTTTGTCCCAAAAGAGATTTTTCATGAGCTATAGCAGAGCTACTCCACCCACTCATTCTGCATTGCAGTGAGGCAGATCAAAGTCCACGTCAGTAGTTGTTGGTTGTGTTTGTCAGACATGTTTTCCTTGATTCCTTCTCCCCGTGTGGTCCCCAATGGCCTGCTTTCACAAACAACTTCCCGACTCAGGGGAGAGGTAAAGGCGTGAATAAAGAGGCTCATTGTGGCAGCTGAGTGCTAACGTATCAGAATACTGATCTCTTCTCGAGCAAAGCAACATATATAGAGACAATTAAATCTGTATTTCATCGCTGCTTGTGCAGAATAGCCCCACAAGTTCAAATTGCTCATGAACAATGGTTTATTTGCATAAAGCTAACAAGTCATGTTCACGAACTGTTAGAGATCAAATTAAGGAAAAATAAACCAAAAATTGAGGAATGCAGAATCAGCATGATGGTGCAAGTTAGCGATACAAATACATACCTGTCATTGAATTGATCAAAAAAGTGAAAGTATAAGTGAAATGAATATGCAGCTACTTTTTAGTAAAATCATATGAGATGGCAAACAAGACTAACAAAAGAATTGGTACCTTGATCATTTGATTGTTGTTTGGATTTCGAGTTTTGGCCATCCATTGGATGTGGATTTCTACAGGGCCTATTAAACTGACCGGGACGTTCATTTTTATACTGATGATCCTGTAGAATTACCCTAGGTACAAACCAAGCAAATGAATTGGAGTCCATTTTCTAATCTTACAGTTGTAAATGCGACATTTACAACTAGCCACTGCAACCTTCGAGTTGCAGTGGCTAAACATTCACAAGTTGAGCTGGTTTTGGGCAAGACACTGATTTGATGCTCATTGTCGGCACCCCAACAAATTTGGAAGTTATGTTTGTTATATATTTGCCACTGCACTGGATTCATTTTCCAGTAACAAATGTGGTGCACATACAGTTAAGAATTACACCCTCAACAGAGCTGGTTGTCAACGGAAGCACAAGGTTACAAATAAATATTCTTTTGGCCCGAGACCTTTGCAGACAGACTGATGCTGCACAAAAGTGATACCGTTTTTATTAATTAAAAATGTGTTGATTAATGAGACTTCTGCATGATTTATTTATGTGTTCATTACAGCCACTTCATGCTTTACTTCTTCTAATTTACCTATGTGAAACAAATCCTTTACGGCTACTTTCTGACAACAAATATATTTACTTTAAGCCATTTTGTGAAAACGTGTCTGATGTATTATTTCTTTTTACCAACATGTCAAATGTTTGTGTTAGTCAAGTGACAGTTATATGGAATCCTGGCTCCTGGAATGCATTGGGCCGTCTCATAGATATATGTACAATTTTTCAGTGTGCAGGGTTGTGAATTGAACACACTTGGTATCTCAAACAAAACACAGAAAGTAATGGCCCCATGTGCCACCAAATTCTATTGAAGCATCCCTCTTCCAACCCTCTGTAAATGGACTATGTTGTTTATGCATAAGCCAAACACCCTGCAACCTGCCAAGGGATTGGCTCTTTTTGTTAAATATTGCCAATTACACCAGAGGCCCTGCAAATATCGCTGAGATAATTCAATATTACAGAAATGTAATGTTGGCCGCTCTTATAGGATGGTGCCTGAGTTGAATTTGCCTTAAGAAGCTTAAAATATTAGTTATTTTCAGCCAGGCTTTGCTGTTATTCTTAACTTTCTCATCAATGTTTCATTTGCAAATGACCTGATCAGTGTCATATATCACATAATACAAAAAGGAGACATTGTTCCCTTTTTTGTTTTTCTACATTTGCATATTGAACCACACCTGCTTCTGAGCTCAGTTGACAATCTGCTGCATTCCCGACACACATCCTAAGTAAAGTGCCGTTCCTTTGTGACACTTTATTCAAGCTGCAATGTATTTTTCTGTGTGGCCTTTGAGCACTTGGGTTATCCACATAAAAACCAACTTGTGAATAGTGAAGAGCACTGAGCCTCTATGCTAAAATTCCATTTTGGTCTGTAATAAACGTTTCATGTGTGAGTTATCTGTCTGAAATGTATCACATGCAAGCATGCGGCTGGCTCACAAGCATAAAGGATACAAGAATCTCATAAGAATTTCATTTCCTGTTAATGTACAGTTCGGTTATTCCGGTTTGTGTAGTGCACCATCCCTATTTATTTATTTTTTTTGGTTTTGTTTTTTTCCCATTAAGTCAGTTTGTGACCTCTGCTCACATGATGTACATTGTTCTGTTTTTCCCTTTCCAATCATCAAATACAAATGCTGATCATGATGGAAATATGTTTTGCTCAGCTTTATGAGCACCATTGAACCTAATGTTGTTTTCAGCATCATGTATCTGCAAAAAAGAAATTAAATCAAATGAATTAAATTAATTAAAAGATGGTTTTGAGTTTGAAAACTGCAATCTACGCCACATTCAGATTATATCTCGAACATTCTGTGTTTCTTTCAACATATGGAATGAAGCTACATGTCAAATTGTCAGGAGTGATACACTACATTCTTGGAGTATCTGTAGTTATTTTGCTTGTCAACAAAGGTCTGATGGAGGTCTGGGATGGTGGTTAAAGTGGGAGGATCTATAGCACATTTTGAGTAAACACAACAAGGTCATTTGGGGTTCAAACCCAGTAAACTCTATTGTAGCATCCCAATTTTTGTCTTTTTTTTCTGTTATTTTGTTTCGTCTTATGGCCAAACAGCTCTGAAATTACTTTTAACCAACTTTTGACCTCTTCTGGCTTCCTGCTTCTCCTCATTGGAACTTTTATTACACTGACTGCAGAGGTGGATCTGCCTTTGATACTAATGTGCATGTGTTATTGAAACCGTAATGCCAGATGAGATCCATATACCAACTCCTCCTCATGTGTGGAATTTCAAAACCCATCCTCTCCTGCAACGAGCATGAAGATGATTTGCACCAATCCATGTTGCTGCAGATACGTTTTTCTCCTCACTGCACTGTGCCCCCCGGAGTTAAAGTTACATGATGAATGATGGGGGAATCAGATCAACTTTCCAATACTACGAGGCACTCTCGCCCTTGAGACAGCACTGGAGGAAGAAATCTTTTACAAGTCAGCCAAAAGGACACCCAGATAAAGATAAAGCAGCTGAAGAGTGGGAGACCCAACATCAGATAACAACTGATAGAATTCTTTTAGTGATTCTGCTTTATCTCTCAGGAATAGATTGATTTCATAATCAAATTATCCATGAGAAGAATATGAAGAAGTTATAGGTGGAGCTCAGGAGTGTGTTGGGGCCGATGGGGTTGGAAAAGATCGGGGGTGTCACTGCTCCTTGGAGCCTTCATTGAGCACTTGATGGATGCTCTGTAACCAATGGGGATAGAGTGCCCCCATAGCCAGGGCGAGCACACAATCTTCTCAGCAGATTAACTCTCATTGATTTATAGAGATTTACTTCAGGAGAGAAAACAGCTGGCAAAAGGACAAATACCAGAACTGGCAAGGCATAAATTCAACCAAAGAAAAGCCAGATCATTTGTTAAAAAGATGATTCTTATCGCAAGGTAGATAAAGGATAGAATTACTTTACAGGCAGCTTGCAGCGTAACACAAAACCACACATTTTGTCCCAGCTAAAAAAAAAAGAAACTCTGTGTTGTTCATTTGCTAAATGATATCAGCAAACGAAACTGCAAAGACATCAACTTTCTTATCAAGGTTGATTTGTGAAATAGGCACAAATTGAGTTTTAATTGAAAATACTTTGCTGAACTAGATGAGGTAAAGAGAGGATGAGTCACTCATCCTCAAAAAGAGGGTCTGGAGAGCACATCACACATTATTTTCTGAAGTCTGAGGTCACTTAATATTTCTTAAGCAGATTGTTGCTGGATGAAAATCTAACAATGCTCCCAAAATGGTTCAGCTGGTTGTGTAGAAAAGTTAACTGGCACTTAAACTTTGGGGAATAATTATTCTCTCATACTAATTTTTATAATAATTTAAAAAAGTAGGAAAGGTTCATTCAGGGCAAACTCCATTAACTCCAGTGTAAGAATGCATTTAACTATCCAGTGCTCATTTGAGAAGAAAAAAAACTGGTTTCCTACTTTTATTTCTCCTGAGGGTGCTGCACTCCTGGCTGCAAGAGAGGAAAAGCTAAATGTAAAAACTAGATGCAATTTTCAGACAAAAAAGAGCAAGACTGATGGATTTTATCCGAGCACCGTTCAGCTGCCACCTAAGTCCAGCTGGGTGAACATCTGCTTTTCAAAAATTGTGAACTACAATAATTATCTCGGAAAGTCATGCTTATCAGAAATTGCCACATGTAACACTACCACTGGCATACGCGGGAGAATTTATTTATTTTATGGGGTCCTTGTGTCTAAGAAATATAGGGCTTATAACATGTACTGCATATTAACGTTTTATGTCTTCCACTCTGTCATGAAGAACTATATTTGTTATTTTGTTGGAATTTACTTACTTTTTGTGTAAAATTTGCATAAATGATTGGATTTGACAGTTGCCTTTCCCTTTTCCCACGATATTTCAACAATCAATTTGTTTTTTCTCTCGTTATCTGCTTTAGGGTCAAGTTTCTGATTAAAAAACACCCCAATGTCTGTGTATTTAACAGCACCTGGAACATATCTTAGGTTAAAGATATATCTATCGTTCTTTATGTGTCAACATTGGCTTAACCTGTTGTCCATAGTGGAGAAAAGGACTTCTGGCGGTTGTAAAAATCCACAAATTGGTGTTTCTGAAGGCAGAAAACACAATCTCATCAAAACCATGCAATGCAGCTTTTCAAATGTATAGTATCACAACCAGTTTCTACAAAACAGTAGTTAAAATGAAAAAGGATCAATTACAAAATATGTATAGCATACATATATACATATGTAGAGCATACTTCGTTGATTATGTTGATAATCATCAATGTGGAAGCAGAAATTTCTTTAATGTAACTATGCAGTGAGTTTTGGATAAATAACTTTTTATTTGGTTGTGGATTTCCATTTTTTCCACCATTGTCAATGTTTTTGCAACTGAAAGCAAAGTAAGACACTAGTTGATATACATGAACCTGCAAAAACTAAATAAAAAGAAACATGCATAAAATATTTGTGAAAAGGTAGTAAAAACTTCATGCACATGAAACCATGAGTGATATTCATTAAGTATTGTCACAGGAGAGAGTAGAATGGAATGGTAATGCCCTTCAGGTGTCAGAACCTGTGGCATTGTATGTGGTCGTGTGATCCATTATAAACATGAAATATTTATTAGTCTAGCTTTAACTGGAAACAATGTGATAACTGGAGCCAGCCTGCTTAGATATAATTTATTCTTATCATGTGTGAAATGACCTTCTTGCCAAGGCCTGATTTCACACATTTTTTTCAGGACATTACATTATTACATTATAGCAGACCTGCCTGCAGTTGGAGCCGTCAGGAAGGGCTGAATAATTTAGCCACAGAGAGGAAGCTATTAAGAATAGATAATCTGAAAAGTTTATGTCAGGAGAGGGGAGACAACCCTGGAGTCAGATGGTGACTGTGGAGGAAAAAGTCTGGCAGGGATTCACTTGGAAATCATGTAGTTTCTTTTTTAAAAGAAAATAGTTTATCCCAGCCCTCTGCTCCATCCCTCCATTAAAGTGAAATATCAGATGTGGCTTTTACACAGCTCCCATGACATCAGCGTCATGTTTTGGCCAAAAAAGCCTGAATCTTTACCACAGATAATCCACTCTGCAAGTGTTTCACTTTTTTGGGGGCATTTACAGTGAAATGGAGTACGTACGGAGTCTTAAAAGCATAATTTATGGTGCATGGCGTGGAGAATTTGTTTTCACATTTGCCAGACAAGTCGGGGCACGTCCAGTCATGTCCTATTACTTCAGGGGACTTGCACTGGGGCTTCTACTTTGTGTGACACTGATTTAAGTGATGTTGTATTTGTCATGTGGCATTAATCATGCATCAAGCCACACTATGTTGCAATTTGTTAGACCTAACCTCAGATTATGTCATATGTAAAGCTGTGGAATTAAAGCTCCTGTTTAACAAACTCTTTAATATATATATATATATATATATGTTTATGATGACGACAGCAAATTTGAAGATTTCACTAAATACAAAAATTTAAAAAATTACTACTACTACTATTTTGCATCTGTTTTTCTGTTTTCAGAAGTGTTACTTTTGTATGTTTCTTCTTGTTGTTGCTCTCTGAAAGAAGTCTATTTTTGTGTGCGCTGTTTTGCAATTTTTATTTACACCTCGTCTTACACATAACTGGAGGACTAAAATAATTTTAGATTATAATTTATAAAACAGATATATCAAACTCCATATTTTAAGCCCGAATCAACTTTTAATTAAAAAAGTTAGATAACTGAATTTAGGGCTCAATTTTAGGCCAAAAACCTTTTAAAGAGTCGACATAAAACATCAAAATGACAGAAAATGGCAGAGATACAAACAAAAATGTCACTTGAATGCATGTTCACGGGATGTGTAACGACCAAGGACCTCAAATAAGGTCTCCAATGGCACACATGAGCATTCAGTTTTTGTTTGAATAGGCGCTCATGCAGCCTTGAATTAGCTGCAGCTGTAGTTCAGATGGGCCTTCCTGGGCCTTGTGTGTAATAATGTTACACGGCTACTGCTCGACAGATGTGCATCTCTCTCCATCTGACTCATGTGTGCCGAGGGAGACAGAGACGAGCCGTGCTCCCCTTCTGTCTGTTTGAAAATCCTTCCACACCTTGTTGATGGGACCGGAACTTTCCTGTGTTTCACCGGGGTGGGCCCTTGCTTGACTCATGGGTCTGAATGAGAGGGGTCATGACCTATGCTATGAACTGCTTCCTGTTTCTACTGAAGGGGTCTTCCGAGGCCCGCAGTGATCACAGGAGAAGCGAGTGAGTTACATCCGATTGGAGCCGATGCCGCCACAATAAAAAAACATACATCAACAGAGCAGTAGCTCGAACAGGAGAAAGAGAGACAGCATTATTTACTGCTGCGCGAGATACAGGGAGAAAATGTGCTCACCAGACATAAAGAACTCGGAAGAGGAGAGATTGTATTCAACTGGGAGCTCAGTGCAGCTTGGTAAGGGAGATTTCCCAGCTCCCCTCGGCAATGAGTAACAATCTATCCACTTTATTAGAACTTAGTTTCTCTTGGCCTTAATTTAAATTTTGAGTTAGGATAACACTGCACTGATTGCAGAAATTGCTGGCATGTGGAGGCATCAGACTTCTTTATATACTGTACAGTGAGGCAGCACATTTAAGAGAACTAAGACATAATAAAATAACCATTCAAATCATTACCATTAAAGGCATTAATATAGGGCACATGCAAAATGGGTTTATAATCCCTTAATATGCATTGAAACTCCCTGCACGGCCACATCCACTGCCTTGAGTAAAACTTGAACAAAGTCTGTAAACTGTGATGCTTATTCTTGCATTGTGCTTGGATTTTCCTTGGATCTTTTGTTCTTTTAGTCTCAATTAAATACGTTTTTCTGATAAAACAGAGGGAAAAAAGTATTTTATTTATGTTGAACATGAATTGTTTATGTTTAGGCAGTTTTCAGTATAGCTGTCATGGTCATGTTTATTTGGCTTATAACTGCCAAATAGTACTTTTAGTGCCTACATCTAACCATAGGCCTTCATTACAAGCTGAAGCTCTGCTATTGGTGAAGATGTACTGTAAATCAAGATCCCCATAAAGGGTGTGAAAAAGTTTGAAATCAGCCAGTTAATTCAGTGCTGAAAACTGTTGGTTCAACATTTAAAAAAAAACTCCAGCTTCTTTAAGCGCTGAAGCTTGAAACCAGTAAACACTGCTACTCTGCTGCTTCTGTCTTATTTTCAACAAACTCGCACACACAAACCAAAAGAGAAATGCGTTTCCCAGATGTCAAATCAACACATTAGAATACTGTACACTTGAGCAGATATCCGCAATGCTGAGTATTAGCATTGTAAAGAAGAAGTCACAAGTATCTCAATTTCCAGGTTGCAGTTCGTGAAAAATATCTCATGGACAACAAAAGTCTGCATTTCTGCAAATGCCGTTTGTACAATTTAACCATTCACTAACAATAACACGTAGGTAGACAAGAGTTTTTCTAAGAAGAATGATAAAGATGTCCTCACTCTTGAAAGTTGGATCTCAAGTCGTAAATAAAATCCAATCCTTCTTTTTTACTTCAGAAGTCCAAGATGTGCAAACTTTATTGGTCACATGTTAAGTAATAAATTTAAAGCATAGAATCAATGTTAATGTAGGAAAAGTGCCATTAATGTCCCCAGTTTATTATTAGTATTGTATTTAGGACAATAATAGGGCACTTCTAGGGTGCCTTTTCTCATCTGACCTCCTTCTGCCCCACTAACAACTGTCATGGACTGATTTAGGATTATTTTTAAATCAGGAGCTGTCGAAGTTTGATGGGACGAGGATGGGATATCCTTATCCCTGGAGGCCTTGTAAATCTGGACAGTTTACTACAGCGAGGGGGAGGAAACAGCCCCATGGTCTCCTGGTACAGGCCGGTCCGTAATCCCACCACTTCCTCTCCTTCACTCTGTTGCCGGTGCTCACGGCGTAATGCATTTTCTGTAACTAACAGCCGTTGTTTCCCGATTGTCACGCTTCCATCCCTTTCTCGTGGAATGTGTGTATATATATACTTGTGTGTGTGTGTGTGTCTATCACAGTAGGATAGGGTGTTGGGGTTTAAAGCTCTCTGCTGGCCGGACCGTTGTGGAAATGTAGAAATGACAGTGGAAGGTCTGGAATTGTAGTTAATATTAAAACCACCCTCCAACATTACTGTTTACCACCTCTTCCTCCTCCCTACGGGTCCCTGGCCCATGACTGAGCTCTTGCAGCCAGGCGGGGTGCTGCGATGTGGGCCTCTTGCTTCCGTCACGCTTGCCCCCTCTGCCTCCAGAAACACATGGGTGTCAAGTCCTCTCGTGCTGGCAGTGTCCAGCCCCTTTCAACAGCTTTTACTCCATTTAATTAGCCATGTCGCCCCATCTCCACATACAGGGGGCATGACAGACCGAAGCCCACATACTCAACGCGGGATGGCACACTGAGAGCATTTTAGCAGCAGAGGGCAATCAATTCACAGCCTTCTCTTTCAGTAACATTCTTCACAACACTTCCTGACAGGTCTGAGTCCACCAGCTCATGTTTTCCAGTCAAACTGACTAGGAGGTCAGATCCCTCAAAGCGGCGCAACAGGTTTTTGGGAAATTTGCCAACGCGGTGATGAGAGCTTTGAGAATAAAATTCACCTGCCATCCAAAGCTGCAAACACTTTGCTCAATGTAAGGTGGTAAAAGATGACTCATTATTTAAGGTTACTTGGAGTAAAATGATAAATTGCTCTTTTTGTATTACCAACAACTGCTGGGGATCAGGTAATATATCTTCAACGTCACCGGGAATATATTTTTACATTTCTGAAAACAATACGTATCAAGTCTAAAACAGGAACTTAATGGACATCCACTAACTGAAAACAGACTACATTCATATCATTGGCTAAATGTTGACATTTGTTAGCTTGAACCACAATGCATTGCCAATAAAATCAGAAAATGACATCTAATTTCTTGATTTCTAGCTTTATTAAACATGAAAAGTCAACACATAAGACTGAATATCGATTGTTGGTCACATATTTTGGCAGGTTTGGGGTCTTTTTAGGGGATGTTAGAGTTTTAACATGGTCTTAAACAGCCCTCTAAGAACGAGTCTAAAGCCTTTTCACAGTTTTAATTCTTCTTACTCAATATATCACTTATAACATGGTGAAGTAAATTATTTTTTCATGTAAATGAAACTCAAAGTAATACATTCCAGTTGGTGTTTCCTTTCTCTCTTCCCCACCATGTGTGTCATTTGCCATCAGGGTATAAGAAATAGGACATTTGAAAAATTGGACTTTTTTTAGTAAAAAAAAAGTGTTGCTGCAAAACATTTTTAAAAATGCACCGCTTCCAAAAGGAGATAAACTCAGGTCTTTGGGATGTTATTCGTATGAGTCCAGGGAGCTAATCTGCAGCTGCCTCTTGGAGTTCAACGGCCAAGAAAGTCTACATTAGAAAACTGAAAGAAGTTGTGTTCTTATCATTACTGTTTTGTATCATTTCTACGCTCCCATGCTGTCAGACTTCCCTCATTCTTAATTCTCCCGCAAAACTCTGGTTCAACCAATCAGTATACTCTTAGTCTGCTCAAAGCTAAATCATATTTTTTTCAGGGTAACTGACCGTCAAACAACACATTTCCACTTTATGTTGAACCCCAAAGAATCTCATCAGGGGATTGTGCTTTATTTTTTAAGGGATTCGGTTCCTCATTTTTTTAGAAATGTGAAAGAACCGAGTCATTAATTTCAACTGATGGCACAGAGGCAATATTAGAGTGTTAGCAGTTTTAGATGAAAAGTTTTAATGAATACTGCTATAATTCAGATGATTCTTCTTTTACTCTGTGTTCTGCCTTGTCACAGTGCTTAAAGGAATCCAGAAATTCAGCAAGTCCTATTTCACATAGACAATATGCATCTACTCTCATACTGACGGAGGAATTCATATTTGAGTAACAACTGAAACGAGCACATCACCTCTGTTCCTTTAATTAAATGGACGCAACTGCAGTTAAACTAATGATTTATGGTCACTAAATATGAGATTCTCTATGGTGCACTGGAAGAGAGTAAAGAGCGAACATTCTTCGCTCTCAGCTGACAACCTGACATATTCCTTTCATCATAATGTTAAAAGAAACAACAACAAATGGAGGAGGAATGAAAGATGGCCTCCACACTTCAAAGCCTGTCTGGAGCCCCATCTCTAATAATCCTCTCACTGTTGCTGCAGGAGGTGAGGTTTCCTGGGTGTTTTCTCTAAAATAGATCCAGGCTGACCCTTGAGAAGCAAGATCACTGCAGGTTGTCGCAGGGCATCAGGGTACAGCAGCGAGAGCAGGGGGGGGAAAGGTTGAAGGGAGTGTGAGGTAGCCTATGACCCTGTGATTTGGATCGGGCATAAGAGGGGGGGGACCCCTGCGTGACCTGGCTTACCGTGTCCAGTACCACAATGTCACCTCCACACTGCAGTCTGCACAAACATGGAGGACGGAAAAGAGACAAAAGAAATAAAGACATGAGGGCAGAAGGCAGATTTTAATGGGGAGACAAAGGTTCGGCCACGTTAACCTACTGGGACTAATTCTGCTTTAGTTCAAGTCTAGGTTAAATGCGTTGGGAATGAGTCAATGCTGGCTGCAGAGAGTGTGACTAACAGACCGGGTCAGTATCAGGGAGCCCTTTTTTTGGCTGCTTTCTGACCAAAAACAGACTAAGAAGAGAGCCAGCAAGGCCTCTTTGTGCAGAGTGAAACAGAGGGGATGAATCTATCATTCACTCTATATTCGCTCTCAGTCCGTAACAGTTACAAAGGCTACTTTACAGTAATCTCTTGAGATGTGTAGGAAATAATGCATCAATGTACAAATTGTTCTCTTTGGGAAAGCTTAAAAGTTATGTTTTATTCAGTGAGAAGATTTTTTTAAGAATACAACTGATGAATGAATTAAATGTACATTTTTGAGAGTGGACTAGAAATGGACCAGTGGAATGTCTTACTCTTTCTTTAAACAGTAACTTTGGTCGTGAATTTTCTTCAGTAGTACACGGTCTTATTTTGGAATTTTTGGAGTTAGATTAGCATTCTGAAAATGCCGAGCTTCATTGACGCTCCTAAATCTGATTTTTGTGACATGATACACGTCTATAAACATGTTGTAAAAATCAGATGCTGATTGATAGATGGCAATTATCCTTTTTTTTTACATTTTTGCCACCCCAATAACAGTCAGCTCTAACTTCATCTTCAAATTATGTGGATAACATGAGGATTTAGCCTCTGTCTGATAGGTAAAAAAATTTAACTTTCCAACAACAGTGATAAAACTTCCCAAGCTCACCAACTATCACTTTGAATTTAACGTATCAAATCAGTGAATAAATGTAAAATGCAAAAACAACAAATCTTAATTTTACTGGCAAGTTAGCTAGGTTCTTGAAGAGCAACAGTTGCCAGGCAACCATTGAAGCTGATGCTGAATACTTCCAACCAAATAGTAACATACAAAGTTAAGCCACTGATTTGAGTTAAGATCCTCTCTAATGATCAAAGACTAAGACCAACTCCAAAGCAATTTGATGCTGTGTAAAATGCAGATTTGAAAAAAGTTATTCAGTTTGATGAAACACTTATTCTTGATAGAATTTTTTTAAATGAAACAACAAAATAGGCTCGTCTCTATTTCTATTAAATGCTGCCTAATTTGGAATTTATTCAGCTTAATTACTTAATGTTTCACTAAGTACCCTGTGTTTTCAGTGGGTGAAAGGTCAAGGCTGCAGGCATACCTTTCCAACACCCTGCAGCTCTCAAATTCTGTGTACATTTCAACATGGATGGTGCCTTTCCAGATGTGCTTGTCCCCAGTTCCAAATGCAGTGGCACACATTCAGACATATGGGATTTTGAAATGAATCCAGTATCCATGTTTTCCAGACCAAATTTCAAGTTTAAAATTGTCACATGACATCTCCGTTTCCCACTTTGCTTCAAACCTTTGCAAACAAGTTTGCTCCAGAAAGGATTCTGTTTTCAATGTGAATTTTGGACTCTACAGACTTTTTTTAAAGTGGAGTTGCAACATTTGTGTGAGTAGCTCATGTTTGTAGTTTTGTAGCTTTGCTAAATCTTTCCTAACATAGGCAAAAACTACAAGATTATTTTAAATTCTGCCCTATATACAAGATGTTTAACAATTTAACAACACTGACTATTTATTCTATTGTTTTAGCACAGATAAATATATATGGGCAGAGGACATTAGTAATTCATCTCAGTCTCAAAGAAAAAAAAACAAACAATGTTCTTCACCAGAACATGCACACATGCATAGAGATCAGCTCTCCTCAAGGACACAGCCACAGATAAGCACCTCGCCCTTAATTATCACTCTCTGCCCAAACAGGAGCGCGTCGGCTTGCTGAGATGCATTTCCTCTGGAATAAAACCAACATTTGTTGCTACCTGCCACGGTCCCTGGAGACTTGGTGCCTGGCACCCTCAGCCAATTGTTGTTTGCTCACCTCCAGTAATGAGGGTTGACAAACAGTGGACCACTGCAGCAACAAGAAGGAGACCAGTGGTCAGCACACGGCACTTAGCATGCCTCCTTGGTTTTCCTCTGCAGAAATAAAGCTGCATAGGAAATGGTGTGTCTGAGACTGGCTTTTTATCGTGTATTCATATGAGCAGAGTGTTTATTCGTAAGGGCGACATGGAGAGAGGTAGGGATGAAGTGCAAGTGATGACAAAATGCATCCTGGCCTAACACCTCAGTGTTTGTGTGATTTGGGGACCTGGAGAGAAAGAGGTGTTAACAGAGGAAAAGCAGGTGTTGGCTCCCTATGTGTGTGTGTGTGTGTGTGTGAGCATATGTGCGCGCTATGCCATAAAGGAGTAAATCCTGCACTAATGACTAATTCCATCTCTTGCGCAGAAAAATAATTCAGACACATTTTGTGTTCGGGATCGAATTCACTTAATTCACTAACACAGTCTCACGGTTTCTTAGATTACTTGGAAAGCAGATACTCGCAGAGTAAAAGGAATCAAGGGGTTCGTTCAGAACAAGGAAAACAAATCAATGCAGGTGGCAAAGTGCTGCTCATTTCCTTTTATGCAATACATAGGCACTTAAAAGTTAGACAAAGGCACACAGTGCACCAAAGCTTCATTGCTTCTCCTCAATTCTGTGCAATGATGCTTGAATAACCTCCATATGTATCATCTGCTACATTACTAGCTAATAAATCATTCATTCATTCTTCACTTGTAAAGCCCATCAAGTGAGATGTTATAAATAGAAGCTAAGAAGTATATTGATTATGCAGTTACACGTATTAATGAGCCATTAACACATGGTAATAAGTTCTTCACAATATAAAGAGCAACAAGCTTTTTAGCAGAACGTAATATATAGTCATAAATGTTGTAAAAAGTCAGGGAGGAAGGGTTTTCATTTCTCATGTTTACAGTTTACAAGAACTCAAAAGATAGTTTTTTGCTGTCATGGGCTCACGAAACGAAGAGAAGTGATTCAGCTACCTTATTTACAAAGAAACACAGCTGGAATAGAGTTCAGATACATCATTTTTGTTTTGTTTTTTGTTGTTTATCATGGCTGTGGGATGTTCAATAAAAGATAGAGCAGTTGTGCCTCTCAGATTCCTGACCTCTTTCTGCCCAAAAAGTACAAAAACAGAGATGGAGACTAAAATAAAAACAAGATTCCTTTGCGTGCAACATTTTCCCACTTTTTTTTACCTCCACAGCTCCCTGAATCATCCACTTCAGTTCCATCGCTGCCCTCAGCCTCTGTTTCACGCTGTAGAAAACACAGCCATTTCCACAGGTGCAGAGTGTCCCCGGCGTAGCACCGTGGCCTTTAGGGGTGATTCAGCAGGCAGGGTAAACAGCAGTAAACAACAGCAGCGGTGGGGAGTGGGCTGTCCTGCTGTGATGATTATTGGAGGGCTGTAAACAGGCCTGATCCACCCGCGGGAGCTGGGCGAGCGGGAACGGCTGATGCAGGCGGCCCGCAGAGAGGTCCAACAACATCTGGGCCTCAGCTCACCTCACCGGGCTCCTGATGTGGAGCCAGGGAAAAGTGGGTTTGTATATCAGCACAACAGGAGAACGCAGATGCTGAATATAGATGAAAGCAGTTAGTAGGAAGTGAGGAAAGTATGCAGCAATTTTATGTTTAAAAAAAAAAAGTCACGCTTGATACAATCAAGAGGCAGGAGGAAATTAGCTTAAATGAGCTGACGAGATCATTTGGAATCTGTCAGGCTTTAACAGTAAAAATGATTAAAAATACAGTAAAAGCCAAGAACCAGAGGGATGAAAGTATGGTCCAGGAACAATGATCAAATCTATTTTATCTATTTAGTAGTTATCTGTGCATACAAAGAAAGAAAAAGCAACTCATCCAGGGAGCATCGATTTGCATTGCAGATCAGTGAAGGCAGCAATTTGAGTTTTTTTTTCCGTTTTATTTTTTGGTTGAAAATTTGATAGAACTGAATATTAAGCTGACATTGCCTGCTAAATCTATATGGCTATATTTCAAGTCTATAGTACTCAGTATATTGGCATCAGTTAATCTAAACCATAGACATTGATATGTCTATAATCTGAATACTATCTAATGGCCTCTGTTGGGGGAAATGGTGGCTCTTCCTGGTGCTATAGCGCCATCTGCTGGCAATCTATTGCAACCACAACTTGTCAAGAAATCTTAGCCAGGAGCTAAAAAAAAAAGAACTCATTAAGAGGTAGCTAAATAAATGCACCATCTTTTGCAAATATTAGAAAAATTGAAGTTTATCAAGTCTACATGTAAAATCTAATTAAAACTTTTGCATGTTGCCATGTGGCCAAAGGCTCATCAATATTGTGAGCAACACTTGCATGACGTAACTTTCCACAATCATAAATCTAAGATGCCCAGAATTTAGTCTCTAAAAATGAAGAAAATGTGCTGTACATTTACTTTAAATGCACTAAATTGTCCAGCCCTGTCAATTTGTGATCCGAGCTCTTTTTTAATTGATTTAGTAACTATGAAAAAATACAGTGCTTGCCAGACATCAGCAACGGACATTGCCGTTTTCAGCGGACTATCACTACAGTCATGGCCAAAAGTATTGAGAATGACACAAATATTATATTTACACATGATCTGCTGCCCTCTGGTTTTCATGTGTGTATGTCAGATGTTGTCATCACATACAGAAATACAATCAATGCTTGAATTTTGTCAGAATTCCTAGGTTTTCGTTTTTACACCCGTCTCTTGATGATTGACCATTAGTTTTCAATGGGATTAAGATCAGGGGAGTTTCCAGGCCATGGACCCAAAAATCTATATGTTTTGTTCCCTAAACCAGTTAGATATCACCTTTGCTTTATGGCAAAGTGCTCCATCATGCTGGAAAAGGCCTTGTTCATCACCAAACTGCTCTTGGACGGTTGGGAGAAGTTGCTCTCGGAGGACATTCTGGTTCCATTCTTTATTCATGGCTGTGTTTTTAGGTAAAACTGTGAGAGAACAGACTCCCTTGGCTGAGAAGCAACCCCACACATGAATGGTTTCAGGATGCTTTACAGTTGGTATGAGACAAGACTGGTGGTAGCGCTCCCCTATTCTTCTCCGAACAAGCCGTTTTCCAGAGGTCCCAAACTATGGGAAAGGGGGAAAAAATTACTTTACCCCAGTCCTCAGTAGTCCACTCCCTGTACATTTTGCAGAATATCAGTCTGTCCCTGATGTTTTTCCTGGAGAGAAGTGGCTTATTTGCTGCCTTCCTTGAGACCAGGCCTTGCTCCAGGAGTCTCCACCTCACAGTGCGTGCTGATGCACTCACACCTGCCTGCTGCCATTCTTGAGCTAGCTCTGCACTGCTGGTAGCCCGATCCCGCAGCTGAAACACTTTTAAGAGATGGTCCTGGCGCTTGCTGGTCTTTCTTGGGCGCCCTGGAGCCATTTTGGCAACAATGACGTTGAAACGTGTTTTGGGGGATAAAGTTAATTTTCTAGGCAAATATTGACTTTGCAATTAATTGCTGTTATGCTGAACACTCTTTTTAACATTCTGGAGTATATACAAATTGCTGTTATAAAAACTGAAGCAGTAGACTTTGTAAATATTAACATTTGAATCATTCTCAAAACTTTTGGCCATGACTGTAGATAATTTAGATGTCAATTAACGCTTCCTTTGCTGTTCATTTCCCACCAGAAGTCAAGATTACATTCATACACGAGCATTCTGAACTAACTTTAGCAGAACTATGACTTACAACCTTTCCTTATCAAAGTTAAGGGATTCCAAAAGCCCTCTAGAATACAGCCTTGCTGATACCACCTTTCATCTTTTCCACATGTATTCATCAAATATTGAGAGAAGTGCATATATGGCCAAGTGCTATCTGTTGTGTGGTAGTTGATTAATAAAGAAATGCAAAATTGAATGTATTTGTCCCTCCAATTTATTATGAAAATGTACAGAGATTAACGGTAGGACTTCTGGTAGCGGGCACGAGCTCCAGGTCCACCGAACTTCTTGGACTCGCAGCGACGCGGGTCGGCCACCAGCAGGGTCCTGTCGTACTGGATCAGGATGTCTTTGATCTCCTTCTTAGAGGCCTCGTCCACATCTGCAATGAGAAAAACCTTCAGGTTATTCTGTACCCCATACTTAACAAAACAACAGTTGGGTTCTACATGTTTTTCTGTACAACCAAATTCTTAAAAACCACACAGTGTACATAGGTAATTTGTTAATAAATAACCCATTTTGGCCTGGTGCCGGACATTTATTAGAGCGAAACGGTGAAATTAGAATGTACGAATGGATAAATCTTCCATCAACACTCTTCATGACTGCATAGTGATTGCTGTACATCAATGCTCATTTGATATTTGAGAACACAGACTCCTTCCAACTCTAGCTGAAATCCTCAAAGTGGCAAAGTGGCAAAGCTGTAGTTCAGCATTTGCAGACTATATTTTGATTTATGCGTCCTCCATTGAAGGATTATAGCTTTATAGAGACTCAAAAGTTGTGTCAATTAGGCTATCGTCCAAAACTGAGCGACCGGGCTCTATATAAACAGGTTCAGCGGTTTCCTTCAAGACAAGATGTTTTATACACTAGTGCCAAACACTGGTGCATGAAATACATGTCATCTAGCTACAGCTGCTATAGCAAAGACATTTTTAGAAGAGTGATGTGTGAGAAATTCCAATGCTTACACTTCTGGTAGTAGGCAACCAGGGCTTTAGAGATGGCTTGGCGGATGGCTGTGAGAAAATAAAAAAAGATATTAGAGCACCTTTAAATACAAACACTTTCACCCAGCAGAACAGAACGAAAGTTTCACTTACCATAGACCTGTGCGACGTGTCCACCACCCTTCACTCTGACTCTGATGTCAACTCCAGCAAAACGCTCCTTCCCCAGCAGCAGCACTGGCTCCAAAAGCTGGAAGGGGTATATATTTGTAGTTTATTTAACTCATTGCCACCAACTTTTTGTTTCAACCTAATCTACCTATGACAATCTTCCAACAATGTAATGAAAGACAGCTGTGAAACCCATGCCCATCACATACATTTAAAGCCATGTGACAGGGGGACAGTTTAATGATCCAATTCAAATTACAAGTAAATTGTATCCAAACTTTGAGAATGAAATCATTAAAGTATATAAAGCAAGTATTTAGGCATTAATTAGGCACTGGCATCCCTGACGTAAACTAAGAAAACCTATTTTACTTGGAGGCCAAGTTACTTTTATTCAAGTTCTTTGGGTTAACATGATTTATATGATAGAGAACCTAATCAATATTAGTTGTGGATGTGACCCCACCTGACTGTCAAATGTCAACAGCCTACCTAATAGTAGATACTATAGAAATGGTAATTGTTCTCTCTCTTTTGTCTAGTTGTTGCTTCAGACTTACCTTGTATTGGAGAGTGGCAGGTTCCACCATCTCCAGGGGTCTGCCATTCACCTTGATCAGGCCATTCCCCCTCTTGCAGTGGGCTACTGCTGTAGCAGTTTTCTATAGAGAAACAGATTATGGAAACAATGAAGATTTCTTGTGTATATTTATTTAAAGATCAATCAAAAAACAACAACTATCTTGCAGATTCACATATACCGGGACTTAATGCTATGTTAAATAAAAACTCGTGTGGACTAACCGTAGCATGTGTATGTACATGTACATTCGTAGTAAGACACCCGAACCAAATAAATGAATAAGTGCTATCAGCAAGCTAAGCTAACGCACCTAGCAATACTGACCGCTGGTTGTTTCTGCTAGGAGCTCACAGGAAGACTCAAACAGCACCGAAATTAGTTCCACAAATGCCTTTGAGTTACATCAGCACACAAAACAGTCGAAGTGGACATGTTCTTAGGCTAAAATTACGGCTTTTAATCACTTTGTGTTTCCTGCTTTAGCCAAAGTTCGCTAGCAAGGCAATGTAACCACAGCACCACACGTGGAATTAAATCAATATATTTACTTACTTTACGTCCAAACACCTGGACAGATTGCAATGGACCTTTAGCTGGCATGTTTCTGAAACACACAGAGAATAAAACCTAAATTAGAAGCATGTGAATAAGTATATTTATTGTGATTTTGACGGATCGCTCAGTGGTACACACCGTCTTCAGCTAGGGTGCCGTACGAAGAGGCCGATGGGGTTTCACACGCCCAGAATCAGGGGCTACTGCACGACCGTTTACGCTGCTTTGGGACAGGATTTACGACAGTTGCCGTCGTTATACCTCCATTTTATGCGTCATGACAAGAATACTAGCTCAGTCAGTGGAGTCGCTGTGGTTATGGCTGGCTTTAGGTACCTATCTTTACACCCAGTGCACCGTAGAAGGACGATTGAGTTTATGTTGTATTTTTATTTTATTCGAACAAACATAGATACATAAACCATATATTACTCATAAAGTAAAGTTTTGACCTAAAGGTAGTTTGTACAAATGAAGATATCGAGTCCTACCCACATCTCTAAAAAAAAAGGGAGACCACTCAAACTCACCGATGGGAAGAAACTGTTATATTATTCCAACAGAGAACGTATTTATGGGTTTGTTAGATAGTTCTGTGATAGCTTGTTTATATAAATTCTTGTTGCTCTTTTTTTTTCTGTATTTGTAATGGAAACACTGTAAATGTTTGTCAAAAAAATCTGCTTCATTATATCTTTAACGGATGCTTGTGTGTTATGCAAAATAAATGATTTATTCTGTTCTTCTATTGTCTGATTTGTATAAATGAGAAATAGTGAAATAATAATTGTGGTCAAAGAGCCACTTAAATATTAAATCAATCAAATTCATAGAAGTGCTGTGTATTAAGTGTACTGACATACTGAAACAGCTTTTTTAAAACCGATTTTTGTTCCACATGAGGTTTTCTTGCTGTGACAAATCAAAACGTGCTGTGAAAAAGATCAATAAAGTCATTTTTAACCTTCACCTGAAAATTTGCCTGCATGATTCAATCATCCAACAGGATTAATTATCACTGTGTGCATCATAGTGTATGAGTACTTAGCTCTTTATTACTTCCCACAACAGCCTTTTATTATGACAGCAATAAAAGAGATGCTGAGATAATTCACCAAACTTTCTTATGCAGAACTTGAAATTAAAAACAAGAACAGCCGTTTAAGATGCATTACTTTATAACCTGATGCCATGAACTGTTTAGACGGCATACTGCTAACAAAATGTGATCAAACTGCAAAAAGCCGTAAGGTTATAAAAATACTGTTTTGAAAGGGTTTACTGTAAGATCTATCTAGAAAGACTGATTGCATGTTCACAGGAGGAAAGTAGCTGTCCAAACAACAAAAACCAGAGGAGGCAGCAGCTTCGCGCTGTTTCCGATTAAAAAACAAGGATCAAACTATCACACTATCAGAAAAAAAGACACATACGTTTCTTCAGTTTCTGGGAATAATGATATGCCGCACTCTGTTTATAAACCATGCTGATAATGATTTGTTAATGTTAGCCTGTTCTTGGGAGTCCAAACAGTCTCTTGTCCCTAAACATCAGCTCCCTCTGGTGCTGGATATATAAATAACATAGTTTTATGTGAAACAGCTTGCTTTAGCTGTGGTAGTATCATCGACCAGAACCTGTCTGGCTAGAATCAGTGTGGAGGACCCAGCAATTAAGCTTCATGACGTGTGTTAACTTCACTTTGCGGTTTTTTCTCTGTTTCACTTGACTTCGTTGTTGAGCTTGCTAGATCTCTAACCACAGAGAACATGAGCTCAGCTGCGGGTCAGCTGGGTATGGGAATTTGACAAGATATGGGAAAAAGGAAGTGGGGATCTTTTTAGACACCAAAATATCAGTATCCAGCCGTACACAAGAGACAGCGTTTGATCTGACCACAAAGTTGAGAAATGTTGACACAAACAAGATCCGGACATTTGTGGAAGTACATCTGCGTCAAGAGGGCCTGTGCACATTTTTCCATGAGCCAACATATGCATTCAGTTGACGAATCCAAGTAAGATTATTCAGGGATTGTACTAAAAAATTACCACGTTTCCTCTCTAAGATTGTACGGGAAACACTAGTCAGGACTCGCAAGTTTTATGCTGTGTGACCAAACGAAAACCTCAAGCATGGAGACGGAGTCTTACCCTTAAAGGAGGCATGCAGTAGGGCCATTCCTGGGTCAAAGAAAGCCTGAAGACAGATAGTATCTTGGGAATCTGTATACAGAGATGTGAGTCATGTGTGCAGTGCCTACCTGTGCCTGACATTTACTGCAGCAACAGGACTGTTTATACTGTCGGCCTCGAGTGAACAGGCACCTGGATATTTTTATTGTCAGAGACAATGGGCCTTCTGCCTGGATTTCCCTGCTGATGAGCTGCCTGAGCTGGATAAGGACATTTTCTGCTTTCGCTTTCTACTCCCATACCCAGCTTTCTACTTCAACACTGTCAGACTCTCTGTACAAAGTCTCATTTTGGGCTTTCTCAGACAGTTATGTTAATGGTGAATCCACGGTGCATTGAGGTTTTCTTTAAATGATTTTGCTTGATTTTGATCTGTCTGAGAGACAATATCGCTTTTTACTCTGCATCTGGAAGCAGTCTGCTTAACGTTAAGCCACAGGGGGGCAGTGTAACAGGAAGAAGCCAAAGACTGGCACTCACTGTTGGGTCATTGGTGCCAGCTCTCTGGACCCTCTCTCTTTATGTGCTATAATTTCAAGAGTTTACCCATATCCATCCATCCATCCATTATTGTTACCACTTATTCCCTAAGGGGTCACGGGGGGACTGGAGCCTATCCCAGTAGTCATGGGGCGAGAGGCAGTTTTACCCATAGTCATTTATTTGATATTAGATTGAAATTAAATTGGTAGTTAATTTCCTTGGAAACACAAGAGTAATTTGTGACCACAGATTGGGGTATGGACCACACATAGAAAGACACTTACACTACAAGTATGACAACTTAATAAGAGCCTGTACTACTGTAGTTTTATACATCCTAAAATACATATAACCCTTTACGGAGAGACAACAAATGTTTTAAGAGTAAATATAGACAAAATAGAGCCAATAAACCATCAACATTTCTATTTGAAGTTTGAATAGTCATATCGACCCCTATTTTTGAATCTAAATGAATTATTCATTTTAATGAAATCAATTTAATTAAAACTATATTTTCCAGAAGAGATTTTGCAAGTGACATTTAATTATTAATATAAGATAGAGGATACAGTCAAAATGGATTAAAATGTTCAGCAAAATCAAACTGAGGGAATAGAAATTAATCATTTTTATAGAAAAAAACATGTATACACTGGCATTGCTAAAAAATAGAAGATTTAATTGTTAGTGACCTAGAGGTGTATTGTTTGTAATATGCAGGCTTGTATATGATTACATTACTTTTTTATTGGAACACACTGTTGATTAAGTTACATTTCTAGATTTTGCATTTTAAAAAAATCCTTTCGCTATTGCGGATTTACACAACAGTGCCTGCCTTCTAGGTCTTTATGTGAAGTCTGAGTCCTAAGTGCAGTCCCTACTCTTTCCTCAATGTTTATATCTTTTCACTTTATGCGTGACAAGTCTGAAGAGTTTATGAGCCAACCGATAAAGCGAGGGATATAGCTTCAGACTGGGATTGCCAATATTCACATAGAAATCAGACAGACAGATGAAACAATGAGTGGGGAAGCCGGGCCAGGTGATAAGCTTTCAGATAAGTCTGTACTTGTGTTATGGGTCTTCAGGCCCCCGCTGGCATTGCTGTCTGCATGGGAAGCTTGTTAAGACTGCCAAATTCTTCCTGATTTCCTGCTGTGTTAGGCAGCATGCTAAAGCATACAGTCGCTGTCTTACTGTCAAGCACATCTGTACAGTGTCCAGGCCCCTAAACTATTTACACTCAAAGATTACTGCTTTTAAGTAGTTTGGGGTTAACTTTTGCAGAGACTGAAAACCAAACACAATCACTTTCTGAGTAATTCTGTGAGTATACAGTGGATAAAAATTACAGCGCTGTGAAAAGGCCCGAGCCAGAAATCCCACCCAGGCTCCCAGGTTTGCTGCTGTAGAAAATGAGCAGAGCTTGCAGAAGGAGGAGAGTCATCCAGTAAAAGACCTGGCAATAAATAAAGACAATGCCATATATGTGCATTTCCTCTCCACGGCCTTATGGAAAGACATCACCTGGAGGCGCGACCCGTGGACCTTGTCTTGTCACAGCACCGTGAGCATGAGGCTACACTCTCAGATTTACAGGGGAGGAGATGCTGTTCCTGGCCAACCGTACAGTCCCATTTGACCATAATAGGCCTCGTAGTGGTTGAAAAAGTGTTGCTGGTAATTGAAGTTTCGCTGAGCAGAAGAAGAAGACCTGCTTAACCCAGAAGGCAGAGAGGCCTAGAGGGTTGCAAAAGGTTCTGTGAAGTATACAGAAGTGAAGACGCCATGGCAACAGAGGGAAAACTCTTTTGGGCTCATGAGGCAGAAAAGTGTCCTTCCAGATTAACGGCTGTGAGGACCATAAATCTGCAAGGCAGGAGAAATATAATTCAAGGCAGCAGGTCTTACCTTTTATATCCTTGTGCACAAACCCATAGATAGCTCGGTTTGTCTCACAATTTTCCTGTGAAATGTTCAAGTATACCAAGATTTTCTTTTTTTTTTTACAGAGGTTTAGGGCAAAAATGTTACCCTGACAACTTAAAAACTTTTTCTTTTTTTTAATATGTCACACAATCAGGGTGACTTGACCATTTCTGTCACATTAAAGCCTGTAACCTACAAATGTCCATCCCAGGGTAGTGCAACAATGGGACAGTAAGGGGGGCCATCCATGCAAAAACTTACCCATCAACGTGAGAGCAACTAAAATGGATGCCACTGGTCTTAGTCGTGCCACGGCAGCAGTAGCTGATGTCTATCTGAATGGTTGGCAGCTCAGAGTGATAAAACATAGCCTAGGGTTGAACCCGCGTTTGAACCCAAGCAGTGTTCATTAATTTAGCTATTTCACCGTGCATTTACCACATAGCAATGGGCCATGCAGCTGTTCCGTGCTCTGTGAACTCCCATCTGGCTTTGGAGTGCGGGTGACAGGATGAGGTAGAAGTGGGCACCGTATGGTAGCCTCTCTGTCCAGCATACATCCTGATATATATGCCGGCTCTACGGACTAGATGTTATGTCCTTTTATGGGATGAACTTCAGTCAGAAAACAATCAGATTAGGTTGCTTACAGTCTGCCTTGTGTTTGCTGGATCTCTACCCCATTATTCAAACATGGATCCAGCAATTGTAACCTGAGGGTAACTACGACTAAACAGAATGGTTATGGAGTTTCACCGGTCATTAGTAAACTATCTGCCTGTAATATCAGAAAAAATTAACAATGAATCTGCTAAATTACTGTGTAGTGTTATCTTTATCTTGCTTTCTGTTAATATCAGGTTTGAGATTTGATATTTTTTTCCTATTCAACATTGAAATCCTCCTTACAAGAGAGACTCTTGGATTCTGTCCCCCCTTTAATGCATCTCAAATACAGTCAGTGTATCTCTTAAAGTATTTGTTTGTTAACACTGTTTGAAAAATGCCAGTGTCTCTTTGATTATTAAGGTACAGCTTTGAATATCATATCTTTATAAGTAAGTTAGCAAATAACAAGTGTGGGAATAGTCTGAGAAAAAAGCTTCCAAGTCATCAAAATAGGGGTGCTTTTGTATATTTGAAAACTGTAAATGGAAATGAAGAAACTGTTCTAACCACCAATCTCAAAGGCATAAACCCATTGTGTTGCTGTGGCTTTCCACTAAATAATACTTTGCTTGTGTAACTCTGTGTGATGGGGAACATTTTGAAGTGTTTTTCTCAACAGCGACGTGACATTAATGACATCAGATTTGCACATTGATTCAGGTAAGAGAGATGCAGACTAACTGTTCATGCGATGTTTTTTTGTTGTTTTTTTAAAGTTCTTGAAATGATGTATTTCAATTATTTTTATTTATCAGGCAAACAGAAAAATGCGTCATGCAAAAACAAATGCTTTGTGCCAACCTGCTGGTTTCTACTGTGCGCTTTGTGTTGGATTCACAACAACCTTGAATGAGGGTTGTGACACCCGCATTATTTCATGATTTTTTTTTTAAAAAGAGCACACTTCACTTTCTGTGGCTTTACTCAGCTTCTCAAACTATCCCATCATTGATTTCAGTCAGGTTTATTGTTCATTGAGCTGGTTGTGGGTCTCACTTGTGGAACTGCACTTGAATTGCTTAACTCACGCAGCTGATTGGGCAGAAGCCCTGGGTTAAAACTTGCCAGCATAACAACCTTTGCATTCGCCATTTCACACATGCATCAGTTCTTCCCCTCGATCAATCTCCATCACACACACACACACTCAGCTCGCCCACACAATCTGCTACATCATCCTCCTTCTTCTCTCGCTCTGTCTTTCACTCAATCTCTCTCTATGTATTTTCCACCATTTTGCCCTTTCTGAGTGAGTGGTCGCCTGTGTGCATGGGTCAACACTGGTCAGGGTTCACGTATGAGGCACTTGTGGTGGGGTGAGAATGGGGCCATGTGGGGTCTGGCGACATGGGCAGGAATACAGTTGCAGAGAGCCAGCTCTGCAGCAAAGCCTGCCTTGTTCTTTGCCTTCTTTTTTTCCCCCCTCCACTCCTCACTTCAATGTTTCTATCAGATGGGCTCTGGAACACAGTGCTTCTGCCTGCTATGACCACTGACAACGAGGAATACAATGATGAATTTGATCACTGCCAGCGACTTACACCCCCTCGTTTCTATCGCTTTCCCGGCTTGCGTCTGCGCGCATTAAACCGTCTAAAACATGATGAAGTGTGACCTTGACATCATGATAAGTTCAGCTTACAACATAAGGTTTATAGCCCTCATAACTATATATGATAAATGAGGCAATTATTTCCCATGTTGTGGAGTCATTGTTTAAGAGTATTTATCCAGGATATCTCCATTGTGTTTGCTAGTATTTCTATAAGTCTGTGCTTAGTCAATCTGTGTTCCAGGCTCCCAGGGGGAGAGGAGATGAGGCTGGGAAGCTCTGATGGGAAAGTGGGCCAGCAGTCTCAGCCCTCCACTGGAGAGCTCCTTAAAAGGCCTGGATAGATTATGTCGTGGACCCTTCCTCCCCCCTTCCACAGGGTTTATGTTTTTTTCCTGCCTCATACAGCAAGCGGAGAAGCCCCTCTGCAGAGCCAGACATTGGCCAAACTCATCATGCACACGACAAAGATGACTTCACT